TGAGTCAAAAGTGCGCCGGAGAGGGTTTTTATCGTCATCCAAATGGGAGAGGCAGGATAGACCTATAGCCATAGACTATAGAACTTGGATCCCCTCTGTCCCCTGAGCCACGAAAACCCTCTCCGGCGCACTTTCGTGAGCCAAAAGTGCGCCGGAGAGGGTTTTCGTCATCCCGCAAGGAGAGGCAGTATGGACCTATAGCCTGTAGCCAATATAGGCTATAGACACTTAGACTATAGAACTCCTTTTGGATCCCCTCTGTCCCTGAGCCACGAAAACCCTCCCCAGCGCACTTTCGTGAGCCAAGAGCGCGCCGGAGAGGGCTTCCGTCATCCCGAATGGAGAGGCAGGATAGGCCTATATCCTATATAAGCTATAGACTTATAGACCTTGGAACTCCTTTAGAGACTCTTTGTCCCCTGAGGAAAATGTCCACGTTGTGAATAATGTCATTTTATGATTTATGAAGAATAGAATACTATGACAGTAAAAACACAATACAGCAATATAACAATATAGCAATATAACAAAATAACAAGATAACAAGATACCAATACAACAAGATAACAATATAGCAATATAACAATGAAATGTGTACATATCTATTTATATATATATATATATATATCACAAAATAGCAGCATAACAAATATGAAAAATATATAAAAAACAACAGAAGATAATAAGAAAAAAACAACCTTGTTTTCATATGCTCCAGAACAAACTAGAACAGTTCCAGGGCGTACGTTTTTGGGGCAAAATCCCGAAACAAAGCGGAACTGTTCCGGAACTGTTCTGGAACTGTTCCGGGGCCTGGTTTTCTGCTCCGGAACAGACTAGAACTGTTCCAGGGCATGTTGTTTTGCACACTTTTTGACGGTACCCGGAACAGACTAGAACTGTTCCAGGGCCTCCTCTTTCATGGCCTCTGAAATGAATACAACCTAATAATAAAATACCTTCCAGTAATTCCCCCCGAGTCCACTCCCAGAATAAACAATATAGCCCTCAAGGCCCAAACCAAAGCTTCTAAACCCTAAACAGCCCCAAACCAGCTAAACTTCTGAACAACCCTAATCTTCAAAACCCTAAAGCCAAACCCTAAAACACCCAGCCTAAACCCTAAACTAAACCTAAATCCGAAACCCTTAAGGTTTTGGGGGTTAGGGTGTTTTGTGTCGGGCTTTGGCCCGAACCCTGTGAAACCCCAAAACCCTAAACCCCCAAACCCTCAACCGTGTCCTTGAGTTTCTTGCACGGCCTATGTATGGTTGCGCCCCGGCGGCCCCCCGCCCCCCCCCCCCCCCTCCCCACCACCACGGCCACCACAGACCACCACCACGGACCACCACCACGGACCACCACCACAGGACCACCACCACCACGGGACCACCACCACCACCACGGGACCCCCCCCCGCCTAGGGTTTAGGGGTTAGGGTTTAGGGTTTAGGGTTTACGGTGTAGGGCTTAGGGTTTAGGGGTTTAGGGTTTAGGGTGTAGGGTTTAGGGTTTAGGGTTATATAAGGGTTTAGGGTTTAGGCTTGGTTTAGGGGAGACTGTAGACCATGGGGGGGTGGGATACCTGGGGGGGGGGGGCGGAACGCACAGCGCACAACCATATATAGGGGTGGCCAAAAAGTTGAAAGACGACCTTGTCTAGGGTTTTGTAGTTGTTTTCAGCTTTCTTGTTGTTTTGTAAAAGCATTTTTCCGCTTAGCAACAATAGACAAGAGGTGAAACATCGTCACTAAAACGACTAAGTAGTTTAAGAAATTTTTCGCCCGGCTTTGGTCACTAAAACGACTAACTACTTTAGGAAATGTGTCGCCCGGCTTTGGTCACTAAAGCGACTAACTACTTTAGGACATGTGACGCCCGGTTTTGGTCACCAAAACGACTAACTACTTTAGGACATGTGTCGCCCGGGTTTGGTCACTAAAACGACGAACTAGTTTAGGAAATGTGTCGCCCGGTTTTGGTCTCAAAAACTACTAACTAATTTAGGAAAAAAAGTGTCGCCCGGCTTTGGTCATTAACACGACACTAACTACTTTAGGAAATGTGTCGCCCGGCTTTGGCCACTAAAACGACTAACTACTTTAGGAAATGTGTCGCCCGGCTTTGGCCGCAGAAACGACTAACTAGTTTAGGAAATGTGTCGCCCGGTTTCGGCCACTAAAACAACTAACTACTGTAGGAAATGTGTCGCCCGGCTCTGGTCACCAAAACGACACTAACTACTTTAGGAAATGTGTTGCCCGGCCTCAATGTCCAAAACACATATTTGAGCAAAAGCGGCCAAAGCTGAAAGAGGCCACCCGCCACAACTAGGCTTTCGCCCAAAGTCATGTAGCTAAACAGGCCACCCCCCTTGAATGTCCAAAACATGTATTTGAACAAAAGGGGCCAAAACTGAAAGAGGCCACCCGCCACAGCTGGGTTTTGCCCAAAGCCCTGTAACTAAAGAGGCCAGCCCTCTTCAATGTCCACACTCAAAAACAACATATTTACGGAATCTCTTCCCAAATCTCTTCCCAAATCTGTTACTGTTACGGGCCATTTTGACAGTCACCCCTTCATAAAGAGGCCAGGGGGGTGGTCTCTTTAGCTACAGGACTGTGGGTTCGCCCAGCTTTGGCAGGTGGCCTCTTTCAGCTTTGGCCCCCCCTACTAAAACATGTGCTTTGGACATTCAGGGGGGGTGGCCTCTTTAGGTACAGGACTTTGGGCGAAAGACCACTTGTGGCAGGTGGCCTCTTTCAGCTTTGGCCCCTACTCAAACATGCGCTTGGGGGGGTGGTTGTGGCAGGTGGCCTCTTTCAGCTTTGGCCGGGTTCCTAAACCCTGAACCCTGAAAATATTTACGGAATCTCTTCCCAAATCTGTTTCTGTCACGGGCCTGCGGGGGTCCCAATTTCCTGAACCCTAAAAATATTTACGGAATCTCTTCCCAAATCTGTTTCTGTTACGGGCCATTTTAACAGTTACCCCTTCATAAAGAGGCCATTGCCTGAAATAACCTAAACCCTAAACCCTAAACCCTAAACCCTAAACCCTAAACCCTAAACCCTAAACCCTAAACCCCTAAATCCTGCCCGCATCGGGAAGTGAACAAAAGCCCGATTGTAAACATGGGGGTTTACGAAAATAGGGGACCCCTAAAATTGACCCCCAAATCATTGGACCCCCTTATACTTAGGAACCTTTGACCCAATAAGGTACCTCTAGAATCCTAAACCCCCACATGGCGCAGAGTACGCGGAGGATGAAACCCTCAACCCAAAAAAGGCTCAGTGCTTCAAGCCTTGGCCTAGGGTTCGAGGATTGCACGGGTTTGTAGGGTTTTTAGGTTTTTTTTTAAAGGTTGTTCAGGGTTCATTGGGTTTATAGGGTAGGGTTTGCATGGTTTTTAAGGTGTGGGGTTTACAGGGCTTAGCGGGTGTATAGGGGTCATAGGGTTTTAGGGCTGACAGTTTCAGGGTTTATAGGGTTTAGAGGGTATATAGGGTTCATAGGGTTGAGGATCGGTTGTTGAGTCTAGGGTGCTGCAGTTGAGGTCTTCAGAGCACGAGGGGAGGCCGTACCCTAAACCCTCATAAAACCCTCCTTAAACCCTAAACCCTTAGAGGCATTATAAACCCAGTAAAGCCAGTGAAGCCTTTTCAACCCTGCAAACCCGGCAAACCCTGTAAACCCTACAAGTATAACTGGTTGGTTCTTAGTAGGGTATGAGTCCCTTAAAGGGTATAGAAGAGGGCCCTCATTCCCCCATTCCCTACTAAGAACCACGGGGACAATCTCCAAACCCCAGAAACCCATTGAAAACCCAAAAAGCCCTGAAAACCCGACAAACCCGATTATAAACCCTATATATTAAAAACCCCAAAAACCCTACATCAACACTAGAAAAACCCCTTTTTTAACCGATTATAAACCCCCATATAAACCCCAACAACACCCTACAAACCCGATTGAGCCTGACCACAGGTCCCGGCCTTGGACCTAAGTTGGCGTGACGAGGTCAGGCCATGACTCAAGGCAGGGCTGGGGCGGGGGGGGGGGGGGGGGGGGGGGGGGAGATGTCTGTAGGGGGTTTAGGGTTTAGGGTTTGGGGTTTGGGGCTTGGGGTTTAGGGTAAGAATCCCCGAGAAGGCTTAGGTCGGTAGCCCAGTAACCACCTTATAATCAGGGTACCTTTTAAAAGGAGAACCAAAAATACCGTTTTTTTTAAACTTGTTAAGGAGAACCAAAAATAAAAGAGGGTAAAGGGCAACCACAGCCCAGAAGTCGATAAGGTCGTGGTGCCGTCGAACCGCGAAGGCTGCGAAGGGACTTTGCAGCTTAGAGCTGTTCAAGGTCTCTCCTAAACCCTAAACCCTAAACCCTAAACCCTAAACCCTTAACCCTACTTCAAGGTCTTGAGTCTTGAGCTTCCAATGTCAGGAGCCTTGCAAGCTGAGAGCCAAAAGGGCGTCACAATTGCGCTCCCAAGCAGGCAGAGGTACTCGCGTTAAAAAAATATGTCCTGATTGCCTCATAGTTTGCCTCAAACCTTGGGTGCAATCTTCGTGACCAGGCAGCTGACACAGGGAGATTGTTTTCAGTTTGTTCATTGGTAGGTAACCCTAAACCCTAAAACCTAAACCCGTATTGTTATCTCGGGCACCTTGAAGGTGCCTGAATTTGGAAGGGCTGGACATGTCTCCATATGCTAACCAGGTCGTGCTGTTTCTGGCCGCCCTGCGAGTCTGCGAGACCTAAGCTTCAGTCACACGCACCTGCAACATAGCCCTAAACCCAAAACCCCAAACGCCAAACCCCAAACCCTAAACAAACCCCAAACCCTAAACCCTGAACCCTAAACCCTAAACCCCAAGCCCTAAACCCTGAACCCTTAACCCTAAACCCCAAGCCCTAAGCCCTAGGCCCTAAACCCCAAACGTAACAGAAAATGTGAGGGCGCCGCCTCGCGGCAACTTTTTTCCGCCCCTTGGCACGTCACTCCAAGCCCCACATCATGGAGGTGGCGATGAACTGGGCCGACCTCAGACTGACTGGCTATGTATGTATGTATATGTATATGTATATGTATATGTATATGTATATGTATATGTATATGTATATGTATATGTATATGTATATGTATATGTATATGTATATGTATATGTATATGTATATGTATATGTATATGTATATGTATATATACATATATGTATATGTATATGTATATGTATATGAGGCAGGAACCTTTATGTATTATGTGGCGTTCCTTTTTTTGGGGACTATCTCAACTATCTAAACCAGGGGGGTTTAGATAGTTTAGATAGTTTAGATAGTTGGGTGAGAGGCCTAAACTACCTAAACCATCTAAACTATCTAAACCAGTGGGGTTTAGATAGTTTAGATAGTTTAGATAGTTGGGGGAGAGGCCTAAACTACCTAAACTATCTAAACCAATGGGGTTTAGATAGTTTAGATAGTTTAGATAGTTGGGTGAGATGCCTAAACTACCTAAACTATCTAAACTATCTAAACCAGGGGGGTTTACATAGTTTAGATAGTTTAGATAGTTGGGGGAGAGAGGCCTCAACTACCTAAACTATCTAAACTATCTAAACCAGGGGGTTTAGATAGTTTAGATAGTTTAGATAGTTGGGGGAGAGAGGCCTCAACTACCTAAACTATCTAAACTATCTAAACCAGGGGGGGTTTAGATAGTTTAGATAGTTTAGGTAGTTTAGGTAGTTTGGGGGGGGAGGTTGGGTCCCGGGTGGAGCCCAAAACTACCTAAACTATCTAAACTATCTAAACCAAGGGTCCCTAATTAGGGCTTCCCCCAATACTAAATACGAGCCCGCCTTCCCCCAATACTAAATTACGAGCCCGTGCCTTCCCCCAATACTAAATTACGAGCCCGGGGTTTCCCCAATACTTTGTTTAGATAGTTTATTAGTTTAGATAATTTGGGGGTAGGTGGGTCACGGGTGGACCTAAACTATCTAAACTATTTAAATTATCTAACATACTAAACCAGGGTCCCCCCAATACTACAAATTTACGAGGCCCTGGGCCCCCCCCAAATTACCCCATAAATTACAGCCCGGGCCGTCCCCCAATACTAAATTACGAGCCGCCCTATTTAACGAAGGTTCCCCCAATACTAATTACGAGCCCGGGCCTTCCCCCAATACAAATTACGAGCCGAGCCGGGCCTTCCCCCAATACTAAATTACGAGCCCAGGCCTTCCCCCAATACTAAATTACCGAGCCCGGGCCTTCCGCCAAACTAAATTACGAAGCCCGGGTCTTCCCCCAATACTAAATTACGAGACCTTCCCCCCCGCGGCCTTCCCCAATACTAAATTACGAGCCGGGGGGGTTAGATAGTTAAGATAGTTTTTACACAGTTGAGATAATTTGGGGGTTAGGTTAGGTCACGGGTGGAGCCCAAAACTACCTAAACTATCTAAACTATTGAAAATTTCTAAACTATCTAAACCCAGGGGTTCCCCCAATACAAATTACGAGCCCGGGCCCGTCCCCCAATACGAAAAAAAAACGAGCCCGGTCTCCCCCCCAACTCTAAAATTACGAGCCCGGGCCTCCCGAATTCTAAATTACGAGCCCGGGCCGTCCCCCAAGTCTAAATTACGAGCCCGGGCCTTCCCCAATACTAAAATTACGAGCCCGGGCCTTCCCCCAAACTAAATTACGAGCCCGGGTCTTCCCCCAATACTAAATTCACTGTGTGGGCCTGGGCCTTCCCCCAATACTAAATTACGAGCCCGGACCTTCCCCAATACTAAATTACGAGCCGGGCCTTTCCCCCAATCCTAAATTACGAGCCCCAGGTGGTTAGTAGATAGTTTACATCAGTTTGAAAAAAAAAAAAAAAAAATAAGATAAAAAAAAAATTAAAAAAACAAAATTTTAAATCATTTTGGGGGTAGGTTGGGTTTTGGTGGGCTCCAAAACTAACCTAAAACTCCTCTACTATTTAAATTATCTACTAAATTGGGCCCCCCACAATACCAAATTACGGGCCCGGCCCCCCACCCAATCTAAATTACGAGCGGGCCTCCCCCCAATACTAAGTTACGAGCCCGGGCCTCCCCGCAAACTAACTTACGAGGCCGCTGGCCTCCTCCCAATACTAAATACGAGTCCCGTCCTTCCCCAAATACTAAATTACGAGCCGGCCTTCCCCCCAATACTAATTTTACGAGCCCAGGCCCTTCCCCAAATACTAAAATTACGATCCCGGGCCTTCCCCCAATACTAAATTACGAGCAGGGGGGTTTAGAGGGGGGTTTTAGATAGTGTTATTTTACATAGTTAGATAGCTAGGTTGGTCACGGGTGGAGCCCCCAAACTACCTAAACTATCTAACTATTTACACTATCTAAACTATATAAACTATCTAAACCGGGGGGTTTAGATAGTTTAGATGTTTAGCTCGTTGGGGGAAGGCCTACAACTAATTTAAACTATCTAAACTATTAACCTATCTAACCGGGGGGGTTTAGATAGTTTAGATAGTTGGGGGGAGAGGCCCTAAAACTATTTAAACTATCTGAACTATCTAAACCAGGGGGTTTAGATAGTTTAGAATAGTTAGATAGTTGGGGAGAGGCCTAAACTACCTAAACTATCCAAACTATCTAAACCAGGGGGGTTTAGGGTTTAGATAGTTTAGATAGTTTAGATAGTTTTAGATAGTAGTTTAGATAGTTTAGATAATAGTTGAGGGGGGGGGGGGTTTGGGTTCTAAACCAGGGGGGTTTAGATATTAGTTTAGATCGTTTTAGATAGTTGGGCAGAGGCCTAACTACCGAAAACTATCTAACTATCTAAACCGGGGGGTGGCTTAGATAGTTTAGGGGGGAGGTTGGTCCGGGTGGAGCCCAAAACTACCTAAACTACCTAAACTACCTAAACTATCTAAACTATCTAAACTGTCTAAAAACCAGGGGGGTTTAGATAGTTTTTAGATAGTTTAGATAGTTGGGGGAGAGGCCCTAAAACTACCTAAACTATCTAAACTATCTAAACCGGGAGATGGGGGGGTTTTAGATAGTTTAGATAGTTTAGATCTAGTTGGGGGAGAGGCCTAAACTACCCTAAACTATCTAAAACTATCTAAACCAGGGGGGTTTAGATAGTTTAGATAGTTTAGATAGTTTAGATAGTTTAGCTAGTTGAGGTGGGGGGGGGGGGGTTGGGTCTAACCAGGGGGTTTAGATAGTTTAGATAGTTTAGATAGGTGGGGGCAGAGGCCTAAACTCCTAAACTAATCTAAACTATCTAAACCGGGGGGTGGTTTAGATAGTTTAGGGGGGGGTGGGGGGGGGGGGGTGGGGGGGGGGGGGGGGGGGGGGGAGGGGGGGGGGGTTGGTCCCCGGGTGGAGCCCAAAACTACCTAAATACCTAAACTATCTAAACTATCTAAACCCAGGGGGGTTTAATAGTTTAGATAGTTTAGATAGTTGGGAGAGAGGCCTGAACTACCTAAACTATCTAAAAATTATCTAAAACCGGGGGGGGGTTTTTAGTTTAGATAGTCAGATCTGTTTTTAGATATTTTAGATAGTTTAGATAGTTTAGGTTTAATAGTTTCAGATAGTTTAGATAGTTTAGTAATAGTTTAGATGTTAGGGGTGGGACTTGGGTCCCGGGTGGAACCCAAAACTACCTAGACTACCTAAACTACCCTCAATAACCCAAACAACTCTAAACTAGGGGGGTTTTGGATAGTTTTAGATAGTTAGATAATTGGGGGAGAGGCCCAAAAAAAACCACCTAAACTATCAAACTATCTAAACTATCTAAACCGGGGGGGTTTAGATAGTTTAGATAGCTTGAGGAGCGGCCGAAACTACCTAAACTATCTAACTATCTAACCCAGGGGGTTTAGATAGTTTAGATAGTTTAGATAGTTAGATAGTTTAGATAGTTTTAGTATAGTTTAGATAGTTTAGATGTTTTATGGGCTGGGGGTTGGGTCTAAACAAGGGGAGTATTTAGATAGTTTAGGATAGTTTCGATAGTTGGGGGGAGGATGCCTAAACTACCTCAAACTATCTAAACTATCTAAACCGGTGGGGGTTTAGATAGTTTAGAATAGTTTAGATAGTTTAAGGGGGGGGGGGGGGGTGGTTTGGTCTAAGAAGGGGGTTTTGATAGTTTAGATAGTTTAGATATTTGGGGAGGGCCTAAACTAACCTAAAACTAATCTAAACTTCTAACCGGGGTGGGAGGGTTTTTAGATAGTTTAGATAGTTAGATTGTTTAAGGTGGGGGGGGGGGGTTTTGTTGGGTCTAAAGCAGGGGGTTTTAGATAGTTTAGATAGTTTAGATAGTTTAGATAGTTTAGATAGTTGGGGGAGAGGCCTAAACTACCTAAACTATCTAAACTATCTAAACCGGGGGGGAGGGTTTAGATAGTTTAGATAGTTTAGATTGTTTAAGGGAGGGGGGTTGGGTCTAAACCAGGGGCGTTTAGATAGTTTAGATAGTTTAGATAGTTGGGGGAGAGGCCTAGACTACCTAAACTATCTAAACTATCTAAACCGGGGGTGAGGGTTTAGATAGTTTAGATAGTTTATATAGTTTAAGGGGGGGGGGTTGGGTCTAAACCAGGGGGGTTTAGATATTTTAGATAGTTTAGATAGTTTAGATAGTTTTGATAGTTTAGATAGTTTAGATAGTTTAGATAGTTTAGGGGGGGCGGGTGGTGGCAAAAATCCGTGATTTCTGATCATTTTGGGCCCCCCAAGTAGCAGATTTTCATGATTTTGGATCATTTTGTGCCTTGGAAACCCATCCCCATGGCAAACTGCGTAGTTTTCGACCATTTTGGGCTCTCACAAATCCTGAGTTCAGGTGTACAAAACAGGAGATTTTCCCTAGTTTGGCAGCCGTAAACCCACCCAAATGGCAAATTTTTGTGTTTTTTGATCATTTTGGGCCTTCCCAAACCCTGAATAAATGCGAAAACATAGGGATTTTCGTTAGTTTGGCAGCCTTGGAAAACCACCAAATAATGAAATTTAGTGATTTTTGACCCTTTTGGACCTTACCAAACTCCGTATCAAGGCCAAAACATAGGGATTTTCGCTAGTCTGGCGGCCTTGGAAAACCCTCGAAATGGCAGATTTGCGAGTTTTTGCGCAATTTGGTCCCTGAATTAAGGCCAAAACATAGGGATTTTCGTTAGTTTGGCAGCCTGGAAAAACCACCAAATAATGAAATTTAGTGATTTTTGACCATTTTTGGGCCTTCCCAAACTCCGTATCAAGGCCAAAACATAGCGAAATGGCAAATTTTAGTAAATTTTTGCGCAATTTGGACCTTCCCAAACCCTGAACTAAGGCCAAAACATAGGGATTTTCGTTAGTTTGGCAGCCTGGAAAAACCACCAAATTATAAAATTTAGTGATTTTTGACCATTTTGGGCCTTCCCAAACTCCGTATCAAGGCCAAAACATAGGGATTTTCGCTAGTCTGGCGGCCTTGGAAAACCCTCGCAATGGCAAATTTTAGTGATTTCTTGCACAATTTGGGCCTTCCCAAACCCTGAATTAAGGCCAAAAACATATGGATTTTCGTTACAAAATAGTAAAAAACAATAATTTTTGATCATTTTGTGCGTAATGAGGCTAAAACATAGGGATTTTCGCCAGTCTGGCGGCCTTGGAAAACCCTTAAAATGGCTAATTATAGTGGATTTTTGCACATTTTGGGCTTCCCAAACCCTGACTTAAGGCAAAAACATATGGCGATGTATCACTTTGGAAGGTCGCTTTTCCAAAACAATTAAGGGATGACAATGCTTGCGGTTTGTCATTTTGGAAGCTCGGTTTTCCAAAACCTTCAGGGGGACACTGCTTGCGATTTGTCATTTTGGGCGCTCAGTTTTCCAAAAACTTAAGGGGGACACTGCTTGCGATTTGTCGCTTGGGGCGCTCAGTTTGCCAAAAACTTAAGGGGGACACTGCTTGCGATTTGTTATTTTGAGAGCTCAGTTTTCCAAAAACTTAAGGGGGACACTGTTTTCGATTTGTCATTTTGGGCGCTCGGTTAAGTTAAGGGGGACACTGCTTGCGATCTGTCATTTTGGAAGCTCAGTTTCCAAAAAAAATCAGGGGGGACACTGCTTGCGATTTGTCATTTTGGGACCTCAGTTTTCCAAGAACTTAAGGGGGACACTGCTTGCGATTTGTCATTTTGGGCGCCCAGTTTTCCAAAAGCTTAGGGGGGACACTGCTTGCGATTTGTCACTTTGGGCGCTCAGTTTGCCAAAAACTTAAAGGGGACACTGCTTGCGATGTGTCATTTTGGAAGCTCAGTTTTCCAAAAACTTCAGGGGGGCACTGCTTGCGATTTGTCATTTTGGGAGCTCAGGTTTCCAAGAACTTAAGGGGGACACTGCTTGCGATTTGTCATTTTGGCGCCCAGTTTTCCAAAAGCTTAGGGGGGACACTGCTTGCGATTTGTCATTTTGGGCGCTCAGTTTGCCAAAAACTTAAAGGGGACACTGCTTGCGGGGACACTGCTTGCGATGTGTCATTTTGGAAGCTCAGTTTTCCAAAAACTTCAGGGGGCACTGCTTGCGATTTGTCATTTTGGGAGCTCAGTTTTCCAAGAACTTAAGGGGGACACTGCTTGCGATTTGTCATTTTGGGTGCTCAGTTTTCCAAAATTTCAGGTGGACACTGCTTGCGATTTGACATTTTGGGAGCTCAGTTCTCCAAAAACTTAAGGGGGACACTGCTTGCGGTTTGTCATTTTGGGACTTCATTTTGGGAGCTCAGTTTTCCAAAAACTTAAGGAGGACGTAAATTCCACCCCTGCCCACGGCCGTCCCTAGGAAGAACAAGAAGAAGAGACACAAGCGAGGAGAGAGAGAGAGAGAGAGAGAGAGAGAGAGAGAGAGAGAGAGAGAGAGAGAGAGAGAGTGCGAGCAGAGAGAAGAGGGAGGACATTGCAGTGGGATGGTTTGCGTCCTTACACAAACATTCTTGGTATGGAGAGAGCCAAAGAAGAGAAACAAGAGAGGCAAGGGTGGATGATTGACTAGTGGCGCCTCTCAGAATTTGTTGTTTATGCCTTCCTTCGTTCTTTCTTCTTCCCAAAGGCAAGAAAGGGAAGAGAGGAGAGGGCATAAGGTATTCTACGACAATTGATTTGTTCTTTGTCCTCCTCCTGTTCTCCGAACCCTTTCTCCCCTCGATAAGAAAAACGAAAATAATGGACTTTTGTTCATTCCTTGGTGTTTTCCTCTTGTTGTCTGTTCCTTCTCGCCGAATGAGTCTGTTGAAAAGAAAATGCACGAATGAACAGGGGAGCCGTTTTGTCCTATCTGAACAGAACTGTTGGAAGTCAGGGGGGTGGATTGCAGAAGACAAACTGGAGGGAACAGGGGAACTCAGCCAAAGGGGCCACTTTTGCAACGAACAACTGCCTGCTTCTCTCTTCTCGTCCATGTGCTTTTCTCACCTATGACAAAATGGAGGGAACAAGGGAACTCAGGCCTGCACTAGGGGGAGCCGAGACCCCCTTTGCAACGAACAGCTACCTGCTTTCTTTCCTTGTTCTATCTTTGCGCTTTCTTGCTTTCTATTTTTATTTCTTTCTTTCGAGGGGTTTGTGGGGGGAGACCCCACGCACGCGCGCAGCCCCAAATCCGACAACGCGAGACTGTTTGATACCATAATCCAAGTAGCAGACGTCCCGATGAGTCCTGAGCCTAGACCCTAAACCCTAAACTTAAACCCTAAACCTTCAGTAGTATAGAACATATTAAAACAAAGAGAACATGCCTAATAATACATAAAGGTTCCTCTTACATATGTATATACATATATAGGGCCCTCATTCCCTCATTCCATTCTAAGAAACAGGGGGTCAACAGCCAGGACTTTCCAGGGAATCTCGGGTTTCGAGTTTTCAAGGTGGAGTCAGGTTCGCATTGCCTCAGCTGGCACTCATCAGGCACTCATCAGGCACACAGAAGCGCCAACCGCACACGATGCAGCCGACCACGGTGCCGAGTCACTGTTCCTCCAGCAAGAATGTCAAGGAGGCCTGCGTTATCGGCCGTTCATTAGTCATTGGGAAACCCTAAACCCTAAACCCTAATCACTCCTCTGAAAACTCTTAAAACCCCAGGGTCCATACTTCGGAACCATTTGAAACCCCAGGGTCCATACTTCGGAACCATTTGAAGCAGGTAAGGGACCATAGTGGAGGATGTGGAGGTGTTCGGGCCTGTGAGGAGGCCTTGTCTTGGGCTTGGACTTCGGGCTTTTGCAGCCCTGAGGATCAGTTCTTAAACCCTAAACCCTAAACCCTAAACCCTAAACCCTAAACCCTAAGCCCTAAACCCTAAACCCTAAACCCTAAACCCTATAAGCCTAAAGCCCTAAGCCCTAAACCCCGAAGTGGGACAGCAGGAAAGTGCACCCGTGCCTTACGCAGAAGCCACTTCCGTTGAAAGCAGTCCAGGCCGTCAAAGACATTCCTGGCAGGTGTGTGCCGCCCTATCATACCCCAAAAGGGTCCATGTAACTAAAGAGGGTTTAGGGTCCATGTACCTAAATAGGGAATACTTGGGCCTTAAAGTGCTTCCTAGAAAGGGACTTTGGGACCAAACACATACAAGTAATAATAAGGTGGACCTCTAGGGTACTATAACGGGTGCCAAAGCGGGACCGTAACTCAGATCAACCTCCATGCCCACTTCAGGAAGGAGGGTGCTACAAGAAGACGTCCCAGGTGCTCTCGGTCTGAAACCTTTCCCAGGAGCCCCCCCCTAAACCCTAAACCCTAAATCCTAAACCCTAAATCCTAAACTCTAGACACTAAACCCCAAACCCTAAACCCTAAACCCCACCAAACCCTAAACAAACCGGGAAGCCCGGTATCCCGAAACCCTACGTAAAAGACCTCAGCCCCGAACCCCTACAGACCATGAAGCCTCCTAAGCCCTGAAACCCTAAATCCTGAGTGCGCTTGCTAGGCTACGGCCGCTACGCCATGATCATTGCCCAAAACCTCTTCATCCCGCAAACCCTAAACCCGAAACCCTAAGCCCTAAACCCTAAACTCTACACCTAAACCCTAAACCCTAAACCCTCAACCCTGAACCTCAAAGGCCCCTTCGAAAGCGCACGGAAGTTACCGCCGAGGCGCCTCCCAGAAAGCCTCACCAGGCCGAAGGCCAAGGCACAAGCACCTAGGGTTTTGGGGCTTCTAGAGGGTTTAGGGTTTTGGGTTTAGGGTTTTGGGATGTTTAGAGGGTGTTTAGAGAGTTCGTGGGGGTGTTAGAGGGTGTTTTAGTAGTTTTTTCGAGCGCCTGGGGTTCCTTGGTTTGTTTTTGTTTGAGTTTAGGAGGATTTTGTTTAGGGCTCTTAGGGAAGGGAGGTTTTCAGGGCTGAAGATTAGGGTTGAGGTCTTATAGGGCTTACGGGGTTTACAGGGCTTATCGGGTGTATAGGGCTAGGGTTTGGCGTTTAGGGGATTCATGGTTTATAGGGTTTATATAGGGTTCGGGGTTTGGCGTTGAGGGTTTTCAGGGTTTAGAGGGCTTAAAGGGTACAGAGTGCTTCTACGGATATTAGGGGTTTGTTAGGGCTTGTTGGGATTTATACGGCTTACCTCTGAACCCTACACTCTAAACTTTCGTAGTTTAAAGGAACCTCGCATCTGAGACTAGACCCAGGGGCAACCTAGGAATGAAAAGGGTGCACTTCTTGTGTTTTTGGGGGAGTATAGCTTGGTAGCCCAGTAACCATCCTATAATAAGGGTACCCTTTTTTCTGGTTAGTCATAAGAGAGCCCAGAACCAAAAAAACAAGTGTAAAGGGTGCCACTAGGCTACCAAGATAAGGGAACCCCAACTCTACAAAAGGAAATAAGGTCCTACTCCGGGTCCTAGTAGCCCTAAACCCTAAACCCTACACCCTAAACCCTAAACCCTAAACCCTAAACCCTAAACCCTAAACCCTAAACCCTAAACCCTAAACCCTAAACCCTAAACCCTAAACCCTAAACATAAGCAGGAAAGCAGGGTGTGCCACTGGTGAGGCGAGGCACATCGCACCCAGGGCTGGTGGTACATGGAGTCGCCTCAGGCTTCGAAGGAGCCGCTTCTGAGCCCTAAACCCTAAACCCTAAACCCTAAACCCTAAACCCTAAACCCTAAACCCTAAACCCTAAACCCTAAACCCTAAACCCTAAACCCTAAACCCTAAACCCTAAACCCTAAACCCTAAACCCTAACCCTTAAACTCTAAACCCTAAACCCTGAATCCCAAACCTTAAACCCTGAGTCCTAAACCTTAAACCTGATGTTCTCCCCCCCAAAGATCCTTGAACCCTAAGCCCTAAAGAGCTTCGGGCTTCGGGAAGTTCCGCCTTGAGAGCTTTGGGGCTTTGATAGGGTCTCTCTTGTTGGGTCTAGCGACGTCTGGAGAACGGTAGCATGTGCCCTAAACCCTAAACCCAAAACCCTTAAACCCCAAGCCCCTGAACCCAAACCCTTGAAACACGTAGCTCGGGCGGGTGGCTGTAGAATGTTTGTCGTGACTCGGCCGCGCGCTTCAGGTGCAGGTTCCTTTCACTGGGATCCCCAGGAAGAATGAAGGGATTCCTTTTTGGTTTAGCGTTTAGGGTTAAGGGTTGAGGGTTTAGGGTTTGGGGTTTGGGGTTTAGGGTTTAGGGCTTAGGGGTCGGAGGTTCAGGTCTTGGGATAGCGCTTAAGGGTTACGAGGTATAAGCGCTTAGGGGGAAACATCGAGCTGCGGGTCAACCCCCTAAGCCCTTCCAACAGCCCTCTCGTCTACCTCCTAAACCATAGACCCCAAACCCTGAACCCTAAACCCTAAACCCAAACCCTGAACCCCAGACCCCTAAAACCTAAACCCTATAGACCCTAAACCCTAAACCCTAAACTTGCCCTAAACCCCAAAACCCTAAGCCCCAAACCCCCCCTCGGCTGGGGCTCTGCATCTTCAGCGCGAAGTCCCGGTCGAAAACAGCGACGCCCACCTCGAGGTTGCGCCGCGCGGAGTAGAGGTCAAAGTTGAAAGAACCGATGGTGGAGAAAACCCCATCCTTGGAAAGGTGTAGGGTTTAGGGTTTAGGGTTTAGGGTTTAGGGCGATACTTGGGTGCCTTATCCAAAACATGTTTTTCTAAGCGTTCAGAACTCTTAGAAAGCAGGACTAGGAGAACGTCAAAACTTGGCTGACTTCTGAACCCCTCCTACAAGTTTAACTTTTAGGCTCCTTCTTGTAGTTTCTAAACCCCAAAAGGTTAAAGTCCTAAGAGCCAGCCAGAAGAAAGCCAAGAAAAATGTATGCCAAATCCACCCTAGCATCCACACACATGTGCTTTGCATGCATGTGGCGGTGGCCATACAAGTGCACTTTGACTTGCTGGCTCGGGGTGTCGCGCAGGAAGTTGCGCAAGAAGTGGGTCTGTGCCAGCAGGTCGCCCGGCAGAGGGTAGAAGTCCGAGGACCCGGAAAGCAGCAGCGAGAGCCTGGCCCCACGAGCCGGCACCTTAGTTGCTGAGTTCATAAGCCCCCTTTTGTAGATTGGGATGTTCCCCCTTCTACCAACAGTCCTTCATAAGGAATCGAATAGTGGGTATGATAATCCCTATTACTTTGTTGCAGAGTTCATAAGCCCCGCCAAAAAGTGTACACCTTCAGTTCAATCGGGGGGTTAGAGGATCCCAAAAAGTGTAAAGTGTACTCGCTCAGCTACTCTGGGTACAAACGGCCTCGAAACCCTAAACCCTAAACCCTTAACCCTAAACTCAAGCGGGCGCCCTCAAGAGGGCGTTCTTGAGGAAGCCCGGTGGGAAGAAGTAGGCTGTCGTGAGCAGCACGGACTCGTCGGCTGCATCGATGCTCTTCGAGATGACCTCCGCCAGCAGGCACTAACCAAGCACTTGACCATAGGGTTTAGGGGTTTAGGGTTCTTGCATTCCTCAAAACAGGATCGCGAAGACAACTTAGGAAACACGGGCAGCAACAACACGTGCCAGCACGCTGGACCAGGCCGACACAAGCTCAACCAACCTCAACTCGCGTGGCAAAAGGTCGATTCAGTCATTCCTCCAACAAGCCAACATCCAATTTCGTCAGGGCCGCAGCTGTCAGGCATCTGCTAACGAGCAGCATGCCTGGACCCCCAAAGTAACAATAATCAATAAACCCTAAACCCTAAACCCTAAACCCTAAACCCTAAACCCTAAACCCTAAACCCTAAACCCTAAACCCTAAACCCTAAACCCTAAACCCTAAACCCTAAACCCTAAACCCTAAACCCTAAACCCTAAATGCAAGCAAGCCCTTGCCTTCCATGCCTCCCTGCAGGGTGCTAGTGGTGATGCTCCCAAAGAGCCCAATACCTCTTAATTAAGGAAGATTCCTTAAATCAAATGAAGGATCCAGGAAGATTCCTTAAAATCATATTAAGGATCCCTATATAAATTAAGCAATAAGCAATATTCCCTAATTAAGGGATATTGGGCTCTTTGGGTAGGGGGACAATTTTGGAAATCTCACGGACAGACACACACACACACACACACCCTAAAACCCTATAAACTCTATGAACCCTAAATCCTGAACCCGGGCCTTCTGGAGTGTGCGGCGGCGCCGCCGCACGTTGGACTGGAGGATCTGAACGTAGACGCCCGGCTCCTTCCTTGCAGGGCCGTGGGAGGGAGTAGTTCTTCAGGAGTTAGGGGGTCGAATGATTCTTGTTAAAGCCTCTAGCATATGAAACCCTCTTCTGAGCAGAAACCCTGAACATTGGCAAAGTACGAAACCCCCCGAAGCAGCCTCGCAGGAATCTCAATAGAGTTCCGCATCACGCGCCCGCCAGCTTCTCGAAGCGAGTCGCGAAAGACCTCTGTGGCCCTACTTTGGAGTAGACCCTGTGTACTTTTGAGGTAGAAGTAGCCATAAGAGGAACACAGAACCCCAAAAACAAAGTAGTATAAAGTATAGTACTCCAAAACCTTGGTGGTTTGGGGCAGGTGGGAAATGTTTCTCAACTCTGGGTCCGGTTTAGGGTTTAGGGTTTAGGGGGTAGGGTTTAGGGTTTAGGGTTTAGGGTTTAGGGTTTAGGGTTTAGGGTTTAGGGTTTAGGGTTTAGGGTTAGGGTTTAGGGTTTAGGGTTTAGGGTTTAGGGTTTAGGGGGTAGGGTTTAGGGTTTAGGGTTTAGGGTTTAGGGTTTAGGGTTTAGGGTTTAGGGTTTAGGGTTTAGGGTTAGGGTTTAGGGTTTAGGGTTTAGGGCTTCAGGCTTCAGGGCTTAGGGCTTGTGAGTTTGCTATTCCGATCATGTCGTTCCCCTAGTAAACCCTAGACTCTAAACCCTAAACCCCCGAAACCCCAAACCCCAAACCGCCTAAACCCTAAGCCCTGAGCCCTAAGCCCTAAGCCCCGAGCCCTACACCCTAAGCCCTAAACCCTAAACCCTAAAGCCCCCCAAAAACCGGCCTCAGCCAAGTCGGCCACGCAGGGGCCCTCCAGCTTCGAGTGCACGTCGTAGAAGCGGCTGGTGCCAAACTCCTCCTCGCCCACTTCCTCCTGCACTAGCCCTAAACCCTAAACCCTAAACCCTAAACCCTAAACCCTAAACCCTAACATAACCCCTATGAACAACAAACTCTACGGCTATCGATACAGGGAGCCAGGCGTAGAGGCCCCCCTGAACTTCTTACAAGTCGATGGACCTAAGCCAGGCAACACCAAAAAATTTATAGCTGAGATTATAACCCAGATCTTCCAGAAACCCTTGATTAATAAGGAAAATACCCTAATTCATAGTCAGGATCCTTATTCAGAATTAGGGTATATTCCTTGTTTTGGAAGATCTGGGAAGGGAGGTTATAGGGCCCTAAAGCTTAAATTGCAGATGGTGCAGGAGGGAGGCGCCTCCCTGCAGACCTTCGGCAAGCGAACCTCCAAACCTTCCACCAGGTTTGCGCGACTCCTGTATGTTCATGCCACCGCAGAAGCCGACGTCATCACACACCTCTGCTGTCTGAAGTCGCAGCGAGAGTTGTACTCTGGACTCATGCGCATGTCTGCTGCAGTCGTGGGTAGATTTTTGACTTGCGCATCTTTGTGCCACCCCATTCACCCTCTAAACCCTACGCCCCGAGGCCATATAAGGCGAAAATCCCAAAGCTGAAGCCCAACACCTCAAACCCCTAGTTGCTGAGTACCCTATATAGGCCCAAAAAAGGTCAACCTTTCAAGTATGCTGGGATTATATATACCCCAAAAGGTTAAGGGTTACCTACTCAGCTACGAAGCTAACCCTAAACCCTAAACCCTAAGCCCTAAACCCTAAACCCTAAACCCTAAACCCCAAACCCTAAACCTCTCTCTCTAACTTAGTAGCTGCTACTAAGAACCCAGGAGCCATGATCTTGCGGTGGTCTCGGAAGGACAGCGGCCCCACGCAGTAGCTCGAAGGCAGAACCGGGTTGAAGAACACCTGGCGCCATGACTCGAGGCTGGTTCCTAATGGGGTTTGGGTATTAGGGTTTAGGTTTTGGGGTTTAGGGTTGGGGGTTTTGGTGTAGGGTTTAGGGTTTAGGGTTTAGGGTTAGAGGTTTATCACTTACATGCCCTTAAAGGCTTCGGGTCCACGGTGTCGGGCTTTGAAGGCTTTCAGGGCATGTAGGGTTCAAACACCTGCTAAGGGCGTCCTTACTTCAGAACTGTAGGTGAGTCAATTCTGAACTCGACAGTGAGCTATGATAAACGATACTACTAGGTTGCCCAGTAACCTGGGATTTAACAGGGTGCCCTTTTTTGCTTAAAGGGGTTTAGAAGGGAACCCAAACCCCCCAAAAAGGGAATAAGGGTCCTGCTTGACATCCTATACTAACCCTAAACCCTAAACCCTAAACCCTCAACGCTCAACCCTCAACCCTAAACCCTCAACCCTAAACCCCCCGCCCTCCCAAACATGCCCACCCACCACATCTGCGCCAACGCTTCGCAACTCGCGGACCCAGTCGTTTCTCAAAGAGAAGGACCCGATGTAGTCCACCAAGAGCACGACCTGGGACTTAAAGGGAGCTAGAGGCCCTAAACCCTAAACTCTAAACCCTAAACCCTAAAACCCTAAAACCCTAAAACCCTAAACCCTAAACCCTCCTAAACCCTAAACCCTAAACCCTTGGACGATCTGGGCACATCCAGGCCCCGGAGGGCCGCGTCGCGCAGCGCGGTGAAGAAGGTCTCCGCCAGAAAGCCTCGGAGGGTTTAGGGTTTAGGGTTTAGGGTTTAGAGTTTAGGGTTTAGGGTATAGGGTTTAAGGTTTAGGGCTTGGGGTTTAGGGCTTGGGGTTTAGGGTTTGGGGTTTTGGGTTTGGGGTTTAGGGCTTCGACTCTCACACTCGCACATAGCCGGCAGGGCTTCGGTTGGTTGTTGGTCCAATTCGGACGACGTTTCTCGGGTGTAGTGGTCATTCCCCACTAGGATTTAGGGTCTGGGGTTTAGTATATAGCTGGAATTTATAGTGTTTAAAGGGGTTTAGGGTGCGTGGCCTCGGCATTTGGGTTCGGGGTTAGGGATTATAAACCCTAAACCCTAAGCCCTAAACCCTAAACCCTAAACCCTAAACCCTAAACCCTAAACCCTAAACCCTAAACCCTAAACCCTAAAGGGTTCGGGGTTAGAGTTTATGGGGCTTCGGCGCGAAGTTCTTTGGTTAGCTGGCACCCTGGCTCGTGTGTTAGGGCAAAGGCCTTCGGGTGCCTTAAGAACCCCTACACCCCAAACCCTAAACCCTAAACCCTAAACCCTAAACCCTAAACCCTAACCCTAACCCTAAACCCTAAACCCTAAACCCTAAACCCTAAACCCTAAACCCTAAACCCTAAACCCTAAACCCTAAACCCCAAACCCTGGGCTAGGTGATCTAAGAATCCTGAGCTTGTATAGGGTCTTTTCGGGTCTTTTACCAGGAGCTTTCGAGCTTTTCTGGGGCTTTGGTGGGGAGGACTTGGGAAGCCCGCCGGCACATATGAAGTATATTTCTTGTACCCCCAAAAGGACACCAAGTACATACACTCACCAATATTCAAAAGGAACCTTATCTACACTCACCAAAAACAGAAATATAAACCCTGTTTCATATGCCCATAGAACAAGAGCAGCTGTATGTCTAGTGTGTCTCGTATTGAGCTTAACTTGGCTGCACTTAGCAGGGTCGCGAGAAATATGATTTTTAGCTGCCTTGTTAAGAAACCCTAAACCCTAAACCCTAACCCCTAAACCCTAAGCCCTAAGCCCTAAGCCCTAAGCCCTAAGCCCTAAGCCCTAAACCCTAAACCCTAAAAGGCTAAGGATCGAAAGCTACAGCAAAGCACCACAGAGGTAAGGGCTTAGATCGAAGCTTTAAACGAGAGTTTGTTGCGGTTCTTTGGTGTGTGACGCTTCGGGTGTTTGTTGCGGTTCTTTGGGGTTCTCCCATGTTTATTGGTTTAGCATCCGAGGGTTGAGGGTTGAGGGTCTGGGGTTTAGGGTTTAGGGTTCCCCACGCCCTCCCCTCCCATTGCTTGAGCCGAGTGGCTGTTGTCGAAGATGTAGCTCTCGCACCAAACGCGCGTCTCTGCCATCGCGATGGCCTCCCAAAGCACGTTAAGCTTGGTTAGTGTCTCGTCTGAGGACTGAGGAACCCTAAACCCTAAATCAGATGGTCATGTGATACGCCTTGAAGAGATCCCTAGGGAGATACTTATAAAATCACCCCTTTGTATTTCTAGGATCACCTCCGGTATGCCCATCTACAAGACCTAGACCCCGGACCCCAGACGCCAGACTAGTAATTGCTTAAGAACCACCAAAAAACAATTAATAATCCTCCTTATACAGGAAAGATAGGGATTATAGTTATTATTACGGGAAATATAGGGATAATAATAATAATTATTATTATTATTCTTTGGGGTTCTTAAGGAAATAGTGGAATCCCTCCTTAGGATCCCCAAGGCTTCGTCATTCCGCAAAAGCGCCTGGAGCATTGCTCGGAAGCATTGATCTCCACCCTCCAGAACCGTCACGCGGTTGCCCGTGGAGAAGTGGCCGTATTTCTGAAACCTAGAGGGTTTCGGGCTTAGGGCTTAGAGGGTTTAGGGTTCAGGGTTTCGGGTTTAGGGCTTAGGGTTAGGGCAGGCAAGCGTGTGGTGAGGCACTTCCAAGCCTCCGGCGTGTGGTCACCACACATTCAACTTTTTTGCGGTTTGGGATTGCGGGGCAGCAGGCCGCGACTAGTCCGCGACTCCTCCCCAAAACTGCTTCAGCAGGCCTTCCTCCTGGTTTCCCTAGACCCCAAAACCCTATAACCCTAAAACCCTAAGCGCTAAACCCTAAACCCTCCTAAACCCTGAACCCTAAACCCCTGAGCCCTCCTACAGTTCTGATCCCATTCGTGAAATCATGGCCTCGTCTACTGTGCTGGGTGGCCCAGCATCCACATTGCATCAAGGGTGTTTAGGGTTTAGGGTTTAGGGTTTAGGGTGCACCTTTTTCCGTTGACCCCCAAAAGCCGAAAAGTGAAGAAGGGTGCGCACAGGGCTTCCTCAGAAAAGGCTACCTGCCGAAACTGATGATTTGGGATGTTCCCCCCTTATGCTATCAGTCCTTAGTAGGGATTAGTATGGGGGGGGGGGGTAATTACTATGATCCCTATTAAGGACTGTTAGGGTTTAGGGTTTAGGGTTTAGGGTTTAGGGTTTAGGGTTTAGGGTTTAGGGTTTAGGGTTTAGGGTAACATGTCAACTGATGATGCTCATTGAGCCCTGGCTGCTTGCGCAACAGCTCGAACCATCGCTGCTTCCGCTGGCGCAGATTGTCATCGGACTCGTCCGGAAAGTTCCTGCTTGGCACTCGTTGGGGGTTTACGAAAATAGGGGACCCGTGAGATCAACCCCCAAAAGATTGTCGGAAACCCCCAGTTGGGTTTGGGACCTGGGAGATAGGGGTGGCAGGTGCAGGAACTTGAAAGAAATGGCAGACGGCTTGACTGAACTTCTTCCAGCTGCACTCGGCCAAGGCTAAACCAAACAGACCCTAGAGCCGCATGTTCAAAGTGAAGCTGGAGCAGGGCTAAGCTTACCCTAAACCCTAAACCCTGAACCCTGAACCCTGAACCCTAAACCCTAAACCCTACACCCTACACCCGAAACCCGACACCCGACACCCGAAACCCGAAACCCGAAACCCGAAACCCGAAACCCTAAACCCTAAACCCTAAACCCTAAACCCTAAACCCTAAACCCTAAACCCTAAACCCTAAACCCTAAACCCTAAACCCTAAACCCTAAACCCTAAAAACCCTAAACCCTAAACCCTAAACCCTAAACCCTAAACCCACCCAATGTCCAAGCGGTCCTGTGGGAGAAGGTCGCCTCAATACATGAGTGCAGCTCGTCGATGCCATCCTGACCAGCTCACTGTCGGGTGGGATTTAGGGTTTAGGGTTTAGGGTTGGTTTTGGGGTTTGGGATTTGGGGTTTCGCGGGAGGGCCCGGATGGCTTAAAACATTTGGTCCCGGGAGGGCCGGGATGGCTCGGGACATTTGGGCCCCGGAGGGCCTGGATGGCTTAGAACAGGGGGTTTAGGGTGTAAGAGTCAATTTCCAGGCCTCCCACCACCCTTTCTACCTAACCCCCCCTCTTCCGCGATGGAATGTCTGTTCCATTGTGGCTGCACATGCTGCGCACAGATTCGAACTCTGGCTTCCTAAAGCCTGAGCCTAGAAGGCCACACTTCCTAAACCCTCAAACCTTAAACCCTCAAACCCTCAGAGCCTTTAAACCCTTAAACCCGCAAACCCTCAAACCCCTTAAACCCTCAAACTCTTAAACCCCCAAACCCGCAAACGGTAGATTTAAGATTGATGTACCACCCTAAACCCTACTAAAGCCTAAACCCTAAACCCTAAACCCTAAACCCTAAACCCGAAACCCTGCCAAGGTAACGTCCTGGTCGTTGGGCCCTGCTGTGCTCTGCAGGGCATCCCGCAGCCATCGGCCGAAGCGCGTGGGACTTCCCATTTCATCGCCAGCTTAAGGAGGTTTAGGGTTTAGGGTTTAGGGTTTAGGGTTTGGGGTTTAGGCTTCAGGGTTACGGGTTAAGGGTGAAGGGTGTCGGGCTGCTGGTTTTTGGGGCTGAGGGGTGACGGGGTCTGAGAAGTGCGAGGTTAGGGTTTTTGGAGCGGGTTTTCCGCCTGGAGTTTGTCTGAAGTCCCAGCTGTTTCCTTCGTTTCGTGACAAAGTGTGTCACAAACCCTTCCGGATTGCGATGATTTCGATGTTAACCCTTCAAGAACTAAGTCTAAACCCTAAACCCTAAACCCTAAACCCTAAACCCTAAACCCTAAACTTGGCCAAGCAAGCTTGTGGGCGTGCATCTTTCCACGGGCCCTCAATGACTCAATGGGGCTTCGGGAGAAGGAGGGTGAGCGTGCGAGGCCATGACGGGACGAGTGGTTGCAGCAGCCTTAACATGCGAATACTCCTTCCACTAACATCGCACTCACACACAGAGGGAACCCTCGGTTTAGGGTTTAGGGTTTAGGGTTTAGGGTTTAGGGTTTAGGGTTCAGGGTTTACCCAAAGTGTCGGGAAACTGCCACCATTCGGGGCTCCGGGGTGCTGAGGATGTAGGCAGCAAACTCGGTCCAACAGGTGCCCGCTGAGGTTCGGGGGATCTTTGCAAGGGAACCTATCTTGTTGAAACCCTAACGCTTGGGATATCTTGGGATATCCCCCCTTATAGACTAACCATCCAAAATAGGGATTCTAATAGGGGGTACTATAATTAATCCCTATTAAGGACTGTTACCCAACCCAAAACCCCCTCAAAGCCGAGTGTAAACCTGCGACTTGATGCCAGGCCGGGCAGACAATGATGTGTTTAGGGTTTAGGGTTTAGGGTTTAGGGTGCTGCTTTGGCACCCCCTGGTTCCTCTCAGCTTCTCAGCTGAGCCCCCGCTGCTGGACTTAGGAAGTCTACGGTTCAGGGGCCTCGGCTTGAAAGGGGAACCACCCCCCCCCCCCCCCCCCCCCGCCCCCCCCCCGCCCCCCCCCCCCCGCCAAACAAAAAACAAAAACCTCAGCCTAAACCCTAAACCCTAAACCCCAAACCCTAAACCCTAAACCCTAAACCCTGATGCAGCCAGCCAGGGGGAGCCCTGATAGAAGCCTCGAGCCCCTAAGATCAGTCGCGCTGGCACGATGCGGGAAACCTTGGCGTGCATCTCTCTGAGGGGGGGTTTAGGGTTTAGGGTTTAGGGTTTAGGGTTTAGGGGCTTATTTTCAATATTGCTTACTTTGTATAGGGATCCTGAGTATGATTTAAGGTCTAAATAGGGATTCGCTTGGGTTACAAAAGGAATATTCTAGCCTCTTCCATGGGCCCTTAATCTGGTCCCTTACCGTTCTGATGCATGGGCCCTTAAGTTATATAGGCCCACAACTACCCTGATTAACTCGAGGGTTCTTCCACGCCGTAGAGCTCCGTTGTTGGAAGACTCTATACAGAAATCCTGCGTGAGTACATTGCAACCATAAGGAAATGGGTTTCGGGTTTAGGAAACCCTAAACCCTAAACCCTAAACCCTAAACCCTAAACCCTAAACCCTAAACCCTAAACCCTAAACCCTAAACCCTAAACCCTAAACCCTAAACCCTAAACCCTAAGTCTAGGGAGCACAGGCCTTAGGTATTATAGGGGTTTTGGGCTTTCGGGCGTAGGGGAGGAACCTGGCAGTCTGGGGTTTAAGGGTTTCGAGGCTTAGGGGTATAGCTTGTGCTGTCGAGGGTTTAGGGTTTAGGGTTTAGGGTTTAGGGTTTAGGGTTTAGGGTTTAGGGTCTAGGGTTTAGGCGTTTAGGCGTTTGGTTCGGGATATGGATCTAAAGGGAAAATACAACACGGAAACTGTGCAACAAACCTCGACTCCGAATACCTGCCGAATCTAACCTCCCACCGTGTCCCTGAAACCTCCCTATCTTGCAAGGACCCAGGTCCATGCCTACAAGACACAGGGTTCCAGAAGTAAGCAAGAGGGGACATCGGCACACTTTTTCAAATCGGTACCCGCCTCAAGGACCCCGGAATCACCCCCAAGACCTTGAATAACCCCCACGAATTTACGCCAAGGTGCGGTAGAAGAACGAAGAGCACCGCGGCGGCAAGGCCACCGACGCCAAAGCAGAGGTAGAACAAGTCCTCGGAACGGCCAAGGCGGGAACAACCGGCCAAGGGCTTAGGTCCTAGGAAACCTAAGCCCTTTTTGAATCCTAAACCCTAAGCCCTAAGCCTTAAGCCCTAAACCGTAAACGCTGAACCCTACACCTTCTCGGAACTTCTGCTTGAGGTTCGGGGTTGGGAAGCTTTATACGCCGGATCCTCCGGCAGACAGGTCTCAAGCTGAATAGCTCTCAAAAAGGGTTTAAGGTTTAGGTTTTAGCGTTTAGGGTTTAGGGTCTAGGGCCAAGATGCATAGTGCCCCTGGTTTGGGGAACCATCCGGAATCCAGGCCTGTCGCAGCAAAGGATTGGGATTTAGGGTCTAGGGTCTAGGGTCTAGGGTCTAGGGTCTAGGGTCTAGGGTTTAGGGTTAGGGTTTAGGGTTTAGGGTATAGGGTTTAGGGTGTTTTATATTCAATCCACTCCCTGACATTTAGGAGGTGATGGGACGATGATTCAGCACAGTAAAGCCTAAAAAGCCCGCAGTCAAGCCTTTCGGGCTGTGTTTTTGGGATTTTCCCCTGGACCCAAAACGAAACACACCCTCAACCCTAATCGACCTGCAAGCGGCAAGCACACGGAGAAGCCAACACGGGTGGGCTGTGGTTTCCCAGATCTGCCAAAAACCCTTCATCAAGGAATATACCCCAACTTTTTCCCTAAGGCTCCAAGTATACAAATAGTACCTACATTGGGGTTTAAAGTCTGTAAATAATACCTACTTTGGGCTTTTTGGAGCCTTAGGGTTTCTGAGGAACCTGATTATGAATTAGGGTATATTCCACTTAAATAGCTTGGGAAGTGAAACCACACGCCAGTGCTAAACCTCAACCCCTTAACCTGATCTTTAGCCTAAAGCCTAAACCCTAAAGCCTAAAGCCTAAACCCTAAACCCTAAACCCTAAACCCTTAAGCCTTAACCCTAAACCCTAAACCCTAAACTTAAACCCTAATAAACCCTAAACCCCTGAACCTGCACATCCCAAGCCTCGGCTCTCCAATCCCAGCTCTTAAAGAAACAAAGGTTAGGGTTTAGGGTTTAGGGTTTAGGGTTTAGGGTTTAGGGTTTAGGGTTTCGGGTTAAGGGTAACTTAGGGTTTCGGGCTTCGGGTTTGGGGTTCGGGTGTGTCCCAAGATCCAACTCTCCCATTGTTGGCCTTTAGGTGGCCCAGCAACAGCCCCAGCAGCGCCACAACTCCGGCCTGGAACTTACTGTTGGTTAGTAGGCAAGGCAAAACCTTTAAAGGGTAGGGGGCGCAGTGCCCCCTCGGCGGTAGATTAAGGTAGGCCCGGGTGCCTGCGTCACCCTGACAAGAGTGAGCAGGCCTTGTGCGGATTCGTACGGGGTACCCCATCTAATCCCTTAAAGGATTTTTCCTACGGCCCTTTTACCCAGCACCGTATATCCCCTTACATAATCCCTTAAAGGGTATATAAATACATAAATAAATAAACAAATATATATATATATATATATACATATATATATATGGGCCTAGTTCCCGTACGAATTCCCTCATTCCCTACTAAGGAGCAAAGCTTCCTGGAATTCTTAGGCTTTGCGGGTGTAGGGTTTAGGGTGGCAGGGCGGTAGGGTTTAGGGTTGACGGTTGAGGGTTTAGGGTCTAAGGTTGGCGGGGCCACAAGTCCAGCCTGGAGGGGAGCCGGGCTTGCGGGAGTTCTTGAGGATACTGGTGTACATAGCAAGGTAGGTTTTCATTGCTCCCGTCCCAAAAAAACACCCAGCACATGCATACTTACATGCACACACACACACATCGACCTTCAGCAGGAGCAACAAGAACATTAGGCTGCACTTTGGTAAACCTTTCCGGGGATTCGGGGATGGGGGTCAGGGGGTTGGAGGGTTTAAGGTTTACAGGGTTTAGGGTTCGGGGAAGTTTGAGGGGGTATTGATTTTGGGCTTAAGCTCCAGAGGCTTTGACTATATGGATGGTGGGCCAACTCGTGGTAGCAATACATGCAAGAGCTTACATGCAGAGTGCCCTGGAAGACCCCTGTGTTTTTTTGGAGCTCTCTTCAAAACCCTAAACCTTAGACCCCAAACCCCTAACCTTATGAACCCTAAAGCAGCTCTTAAGTCATGAACACGACCCTCGGACGGACCTTAATGCCTTGCTTCAGGTCTTGGGATGCTGCCTCAAGCATTTACTGAGTGCGGCTTTGGGGTCTTAGGCTTTAGCACTTCCAAGGGCACGTAGCGTACTAAGTTGTATGGAACCCTAAACCCTAAACCCTAAACCTTATAAACCCTATAAACCCTATAAACCCTATAAACCCTATAAACCCTATAAACCCTATAAACCCTATAAACCCTATAAACCCTATAAACCCTATAAACCCTATAAACCCTATAAACCCTATAAACCCTATAAACCCTAAACCCTAAGCCCTAAACCCTAAACCCTCCCATATTCCACTAGGAAGGGTAAGCAAGCGAACCATCCCCTTCCTCTTGCTACGCAAACCGCACTCAACCTCCAGCTGACCAGCTACCCTAAACCCTACTAGACCCCAGACCCCAAAATTCAAAACCCTAAGCCCTAGACCCCAAAATCCTAAAACCTTAAACCCTAGACTCCAAAATCCTAAAACCCTAAGCTCTAGACTCCAAAATCCTAAAACCCTAAGCCCTAACACCCTAAAACCCTAAACCCCAAGCCCTGACACCCAAAAACCCTGAAAGCCCAAAGCCATCCCGCACACCGAGGGCACCCCCGAACCCTCTTCCCGCACCCCCACCCCTTGATTGAACCCGGAGCCTCAGCCTAAATGCCGGGACACAGCACCCATCCCAAACCCCCTAAACCGCAACCCTAAACCCTAAACCCTAAACCCTAAACCCTAAACCCTAAACCCTAAACCCTAAACCCTAAACCCTAAACCCTAAACCCTAAACCCCCAACCAGAAACCCACCTGAACAGCACAGCCCAGCCCGTAGGCGAAGGCGGAGGATGACAGGAACTCGGCGGTGGCCTCGGGGTCCGGTGAAGATCCGGGTGTACTAAGGGGTTGAGTTCAGGGTTAGGGTTTAGGGTTTAGGGTTTAGGGTTTAGGGTTTAGGGTTTAGGGTTTAGGGTTTAGGGTTTAGGGTTTAGGGTTTAGGGTTTAGGGCTAGGGTTTAGGGTTTAGGAGGCTTTAGGGTTTAGGAGGGTTTAGGATTTCGGAGTGTTTAGGGTTTGGGAAGGTTTCGGGTTTAGGGGCTTGGGGCTTAGGGGCTTACGGGGAGTTTAGGTGCTTAGGGGCTTACGGGAAGTTTTTTTTTTTTTTTTTGGGGGGGGGGGGGCTTAAGGGGGTTTGGGGGGTGGGGCTTAGGACTTGGGGTCTACAGTTTGGGCGTTGGGCCTGGAGGGACTTAGGGGCATCCTGTGGAGACTTTAGAGGCCTTAACAATGAACCCTAAACCCTAAACCCTACTGGATTGGTTGTTTCCGGTTGTGTGAGTTATAAGTTATAATCTACTTAGGTTCTACTTATGCTAAGTAGGTTACACTAGTTATAACCGAAGTTATAAGTAAGACCTAAGTAGATCCTAAGTAGTTTTGTTTTATTGTTTTTGCAGAGTTATAAAAGTTGTCGATGCGAGTGTGGCAAAATGAAGAATGATGGGTTTTGCCGGGGCAGAAGAGCAGACGGCAACGTCCAGGGGGTCCTGTTGGCAAGGTTTGACCAGAGCAGTTTCGCCCGTGTCGCCACCGGCTGCCCCAACTTTCGAGAGAGACGACTGCAAGCAGCGTTTCTTGGCTTGCCGGCAAAGTAAGCTGGGCAGCGTCGATGCTGGCCATGGCTTGAGCACCTAGAAAAAGGCGGTTAGAGTAGCTTGGAGGGGACTCGGGCTGCAGCGGCTGCGGCGGGGAAGCGAGCGAGAAAAGTAAGGACTGGAGGCAAGCAAACAGCTGAAGCAGAAGGGGAAACCACCTTGATTTTTCGAGTTTCGATGCAAACACCGGGCCGACACCGGGCCGACAGGCCTCCGACACCAAATCTCCGCCCTGGCGTGCGGGCCGACAGGCCGACAGGCCAAAACTGCGCGACAACACATGGTTTGCGTGTCTGGCCGACAACCGGCCGACGTCTGCCATTGGTGCTGCGTGAGCGGGCCGACAATGGCCGACAAGGGGCCGACAGCAGGAAGATTCCAGAAAACCAAGGTTTTTGTAGAGGACATGTTAGGAGCAAGGGTTGCTTCTGAGAGGGCTACAGGTTCAGTGGCCAAGCTATATCAGCTCGGTTATACTTGAGGTCCGGTGTGCTGTGGAAGCTTCCTAGCGCAAGCGGACCGAATCGGAGAAGGGTTGGGCTCGCGTTCTGCACGAATGGTACCAAAGGTGAGTGTGCGACTAAGCATAGTTGGGCGCATGCAAAAATCTGCTCAAGAGGCAGCCTCCAGCTCTAGCCGTCTGTTCTCCACCCTTGCCAAGTTATATCTCCGTCTGGCGTCCATGATGCACGAGCCACAAAAGCTGAGGCTCGTGCAGCACACAATATAAAATCAAAATGCTGAAAAGTCACAAATTCAAAGTAGAACCTGAGTTAAAAGCAACTGAGACCTAACTAACTTATAACTAAACAGGTACTACTTATATAACTAGCTCATAAACCCAGTAAACCACCTATAACTGACTTCCTACTTATGACCGACTTGCGGCTATACTTAGCCGGGTTATAACCCCTGCTAGCAAGGTTATAATCAGGGTTATAACTCAACCAAACCAATCAGCCATACCAGTAAACCCTGAACCCCAAACCCTAAACCCTAAACCCCTAAACCCCTAATGTTGACCTCGTAATAATAAACCCCCCCCCCCCCCCCTTCAATCAAACCCCCCCAAATAGAGTAGGGCCCCTTTGAATAAGGATTCCTTTCCTTAGAGCCCCCCTTCAATCAAACTCCCCCAAAAAAAACCAGCCCCGACTTGGCGTACTTTATTCCCAGGGCTTTATTATTGCGGCCGGGACCCCTGGCGCACTTTAATATCAGGGGGTTCAATAATACGAGGTTAACATTAAACCCCTAAACCCCTAAACCCTAAACCCTAAAACCCTAAACCCTAAACCCTAAACCCTAAACCCTAAACTCTAAACCCTAAACCCTAAACCCTAAACCCTAAACCCTAAACCCTAAGCCCTAAGCCCTAAGCCCTAAGCCCTAAGCCCTAAACTAAACCCCTTAGAATAGGGTTTGGGAGCCGTTGTCGTAGAATTGCAAAGGGGCCGTGAGGGAATACGAATAGCAACTATTCCGACCCCTACATTACCCCCATGGCTTTATAATATTATATGCTGCGGTCGACCTCCCTCTTGCAAGATGCTCATGGAGAGCACAATCCCTAAGTCCTACGGAGTTAGTCCCCAAGAAACACAGCGTCATGTCTTTGGCGCACTAAAGGCCAAAGGAGAGACCCTTAAAGGGACCTTAGGGGTTCTTTTGGGGCCATTTAGCGGCTACTTCGGCAAATAGGGACTATACAAGCCATGTAATTGTAGGGTTATATAGGGGAATAAGATTCCGGGTCCCTTTTGGGGGTCCTTATACCCCTACAAACACTAAAGGTGCCAAGACTTGGGTGCCACACGGGGTAGACGAAGGCCTCGCCGGCGGCGATCAAGGCAAACTGCCTCAAGCTGGGTGGCTCGGGAAGCTGAACCGAAAACATGCTCAAGGCCGCAAGCCCGCTAGACCATACACGCACCCTGGCCCTAAACCCTAAACCCTCAACCCTCAACCCTAAACCCTTTTTCAACGAGGACTCTCTCAAGTGCCCCGCTCTCTGCCCTAGACCCTAAACCCGAAACCCTAAACCCGAAACCCGAAACCCTAAACCCTAAACCCTAAACCCCTGCACGAAGTTTAGGGACGCCGAGTGGCGGGAGCAGCCAAGCGATGCTCAGAGAGGAGATCTCTGGTTGGCCTGCCAGCTGCGCCGGTTTAGGGTTTAGGGTTTAGGGTTTAGGGTTTAGGGTTTAGGGTTTAGGGTTTAGGGTGTAGGGTGTAGGGTGTAGGGTGTAGGGTTTAGGGTTTAGGGTTTAGGGTTTAGGGTTTAGCGCCTTGACGCCTGGCTCCCAAATTTGAACCCTTAAACCCCCCAAAAAACCTCACCCAAAGAGCCCAATGCCCCTGAATTAAAGATCCAAGTCTAGGGTTTAGGGTTTAGGGTTTAGGGTTTAGGGTTTAGGGTTTAGGGTTCAAGAGCTCCTGGTCGAGCAGTTTCTCGTTTAGGCTCTGTGTTTAGAACATCGAAAAATACCCACCCACCCGAAGTTCCCATAACATTAAGAAATAAAAAGTTTCTTCTTTTTATTAGGATGGTTCAAAAACAAAATGAATGATTTCCACTTAACAAACGAGGAGGTGGAGATACTAAACCACGCGAGGCTTTGAGGTCTTAAAAACTTGAAAAACACAAAAACCCAGAAAACGAGAGGCCACCCAGAACCCTCGATTTCAGTACTAAAAATTCGCATTTTCATTGCGGGTCTAGGCCAAGCCTGAGGTCGGGTGTTTTTTGAGGCAAACTTTCCCTCTCAAGGGGGGGTCGGAGTTTGAGGCAAGGAGGGTCTCCAAAGACTATTTTGCCTTTAAAATCCAAAAATACGACCCCCCCTTGACCGAAATTAGGCTGTGAAAAGGTCGCGGGGGCAGCCCTTCCTCCGAAAAACCCTGAAAAAACCCGAAGAAACATGGAAAAACCTTAAAAAACATTGAAAAACCTTGAAAAACCCTGAAAAACTTGAAAAAACACGGCGTTGAGGCCTTGAAACCCTAAACACAGGCCTTGAGGCCTTGAAACCCTAAACGCTGGGCCCTGAGGCCTTGAAACCCTAAACGCTTGGCCCTGAAACCCTAAACACAGGCCCTGAGGCCTTGAAACCCTCAACGCTGGGCCCTGAAACCCTAAACGCAGGCCCTGAGGCCTTGAAACCCTAAACACAGGCTTTGAGGCCTTGAAACCCTAAACGCTGGGCCCTGAAACCCTAAACACAGGCCCTGAGGCCCTGAAACCCTAAACACCTAAACACAGGCCCTGAGGCCTTGAAACCCTAAACGCTGGGCCCTGAAACCCGAAACACAGGCCCTGAGGCCTTGAAACCCTAAACGCTGGGCCCTGAAACCCTAAACACAGGCCCTGAGGCCCTGAAACCCTAAACACAGGCCCTGAAACCTTGAAACCCTAAACGCTTGGCCCTGAAACCCTAAACACAGGCCCTGAGGCCCTGAAACCCAAAACACAGGCCCTGAGGCCTTGAAACCCTAAACACAGGCCCTGAGGCCTTGAAACCCTAAACACAGGCTTTGAGGCCTTGAAACCCTAAACGCTGGGCCCTGAAACCCTAAACACAGGCCCTGAGGCCCTGAAACCCTAAACACAGGCCCTGATACCTTGAAACCCTAAACGCTGGGCCCTGAAACCCTAAACACAGGCCCTGAGGCACTGAAACCCTAAACACAGGCCCTGAAGCCTTGAAACCCTAAACACAGGCTTTGAGGCCTTGAAACCCTAAACGCTGGGCCCTGAAACCCTAAACACAGGCCCTGAGGCCCTGAAACCCTAAACACAGGCCCTGAAGCCTTGAAACCCTAAACGCTGGGCCCTGGAACCCTAAACACAGGCCCTGAGGCCCTGAAACCCTAAACACAGGCCCTGAACCCTTGAAACCCTAAACGCCATGCCTTGGGGCCACCCTTGAGGCCCTGAAACCCTAAACGCCAGGCCTTGAGGCCCTGAAACCCTAATTAGGGTCTCAAGTGTTGAGGGTCTCAAAAATTTAGGGGCTCAACGGTTTAGGGTCTCAAGGGCATTGTGGGCCTTGGGCCTTGCCCACGAATGTTTGGGCCTTGCCCACGAATACTTGGGCCTTGTCCACGAATATTTGGGCCTTGCCCACGAATACTTGGGCCTTGCCCACGAATATTTGGGCCTTGCCCACGAATATTTGGGCCTTGCCCACGAGTATTTGGGCCTTGCCCACGAATTTTTGGGCCTTGCCCACGACCCAACAACCCCAGAAATTCGTGGGCAAGGCCCAAAAATTCGTGGGCAAGGCCCAAAATATTTGGCCTTGCCCACGAATACCATTAAGGTTTATAATTATATGGTAGGAGAGGTTTAGGGTTCAGGGCTTAGAACTTAGGGCCATGAATCCTCAACTCCCGCTCTCTCCCCCTCTGGCTGGCGCGCCGGGGAGTCGGGGAGTCCAGTCGCGTCGAGCCACCTGCAAAGGCAGCCGCAAGGCCGACCCGAAATCGGAGCTCCTAAGTTAGGGTTTAGGGTTTAGGGTTTAGGGTTTCGGGTTTAGGGTTTAGGGTTTAGGGTTTAGGGTTTAGGGTCTAGGGTTTAGGGTTGAGGGTTTAGGGGTTTATAGAATTTGTACAGGGTTTGGGTCCCACTTTGTTTTTGACCGAACGTTTCGCCGAAACATCTTGACCGAAGCAACCCTAGGCCCTAAACCCTAAACCCAAAACCCAAAACCCGTTAGTCAGCCTGGGCATCCCTCGTGAGGTGACCTTTTCAAGGTTAACAAAATAGCGAGCTGCTCGTGAAACACATACAGTTTCCATTTATCTTGTCTTAAATCCTGAAACCCTGTGGGTCGCTTCTCTCTGAATACGCGTCTTTTTGGGTTAGGTTTGAACTAATTCTGAGCCCCAAGAGCACCTTCAACCGAATACATATCATGTAAGGACATACTGGAGAACCTCCCATACTCCGTGTTAAACAGATACGCGCCCTGAGCCCTAGACCCGAAACCCCAAACCCTGAACCCAACCGGGTTTAGGGTTTAGGGTCTAGGGTTTGGGGTTTAGGGTTTCGGGTTGAAGGTTTAAGGTTTAGGGTTTAGGACACACTCCCTCCCCCCCCCCCCACCGTTTTGGCGACCTCCACAGCTGCAGCGACGAACATCGCCAGGGCAGCGCAGACACATCCTAGACCAAGGCCTGCCATCTACATCGGCTTAGCTAGGCTTAGGGTTTAGGGTTTAGGGTTTAGGGTTAGGGTTTAGGGTTTAGGGTTTAGGGTTTAGGGTTTAGGGTTTAGGGTTTAGGGTTTAGGGTTTAGGGTTTAGGGTTTAGGGTTTAGGGTTTAGGGTTTCGGGTTTCGGGTTTCGGGTTCCGGGTTCCGGGTTCCGGGTTCCGGGTTTAGGGTTTAGGGTTTAGGGTTTAGGGTTTAGGGTTTAGGGTTTAGGGTTTAGGGTTTAGGGTTTAGGGTTTAGGGTTTAGGGTTTAGGGTTTAACCAGGGGGCACCCTGGTATGTACCCAGATCTTCCAAACCCCCTTAATTAAGGAAGATACCCAAAATTTATACTGAGGGTCCTCATAATGAATTAGGGTATATTCCTTACTTGAGGGGTTTTGGAAAATCTGGGCAAAACTTTCCTTCTTAGAATCCCTGAAGCAGGACCGAATGGAAACTTCATCCGGGTCGAAATATAGAGTCATGCAAGACTAGTAATCCCCGGCCGCGAATATAATGAAATAATAGAACCATACAAGAATACATCGCGCCAGATCGACCACAGATTCAGGGACTGAATGTTCGGGTTTCAGGGCCCCCAAAGACCCCAAATCCGAAGTCCTACTGCCCAAGAGGGTTTAGGGTTTCGGGTTCGGGTTTATAGGGTTTAGGGTTTAGGGTTGAGGGTTTAGGGTTGTGGGTTCTAAGAGTCCCCCCAACATCTTGCTGCCCCCGTGGCGAGTTTGCAGCCTCAACTTCAGCACCTCAGTCTGCAAACCCCCAGGGTTTTGGGGTTTTAGGGTGTGCTGGGGTAGGTGTTGGGGGGGGGGGGGGCCTTAAAACAAACATTTGTGAATGGATTGATAAGGAATATATGAGAGATTAAAGGAAATGAAGGGAAAGTTTATACAGGGCTTAGGGACTTCTCGGGAGCTGTCATGCATGGAAGACCTGAAACCAGAAACGCTGCTTCTCACTTACTCGCTAGAATGTGCTACAATCGGTTGGGATTTCGGGCTTCCAAGTATGGGCTCTGAATTTGGGTGTACGGTTTAGGGTCTAGGGTCTAGGGTTTAGGGTCTAGGGTCCCCTTTTTTACACCGAATATAAGAAGGGCCCATACGTCGGATCCACCATACAAAGGGCCCATGGTTCCAACCTCAGACGAGGCGCGCGCGTCCGGGAAATTAGACACGTCAGAACCGCCAGGGAGCAAAGCCTCTCGAAGCCTGACAGGGATCGACGGGGGCTTCGGGGTTGGGTTTATAGGGTTTATAGAGTTTATAGGGTTATAGGGTTTATAGGGTTTATAGACTTTATAGGGTTTTATAGGGTTTTATAGGGTTTATAGGGTTTGTAGGGTTACAGGGTTTATAGGGTTTATAGGGCATCTAATATGGCTTATAGGGTTTAGAGAGCTTATGGGGTTCTTCTTGGACTTTTAGAACACTAGAAGGGCTTTCTGCCGCTAACAGGCGCTTATAGGGTTTGCAGGGTTTAGGCCCTACATCGGGGTTACTGGAATTGCCAGGGCTTTAGAGGCAGAGCTATCGAGAACAAACAAGCTGGGTGCCGACCGAAGCTGAACGGGTTTAGTGTTTAGGGTTTAGGGGTTTTAGGGTTTTAGGGCTTTAGGGTTTTAGGGTTTTAGGGTTTTGAAGGCCTCCAGGTTTAGGGCTTTTAGAGCTTGTTGAGGGTCTTGAGCTTCGTTAGGTTTAGGTTAGCTACCCTAAACCCTAAACCCTAAATCCGAAACCCTAAACCCTAAACCCTAAACCCTCAACCCTAACCGCTTTGAAGGGTTCTAGGGTTCCATTTGGCTTTAGGGTTGATTATTGGGATGTGCCCCCTTCTACTGACAGTCCCTAATAGGAATTATAGTACCCCCTATTCATCCCTATTCAGGACTGTTCGTATAAGGGTGAACAGTGGATGTTGTTTGAGGCCCTGAAGCAGGGCGAGACACAGAAGATTCCGGAGCCCTAAACCTAAACCCTTCTGTAAACCGGGTGGGCTAGAGGCTGAAGGCTTGAGAACACGAAGAAGCCCTAAACCCTAAACCCGAAGCCCGAAACCCAAGACCCTAGACCCTAAACCCCAAACCCTAAACCGTCAACCCTACGCGTGCCCTGCAGAAGGCAAGCAGGTAGTTCCATCCCGAAGAAAGACCTGCAGCTGTAGCGCATGCTTCGGGATTGGGGTTTAGGGTTTGGTGGTTCATTCGGGGGTGGAGGGATTTAGGCACGGGGATTTAAGAGTTTGGGGGTTAGACGTTAAGGGTTGAGGTGCTTTGTGGGTTTAAGGAAGCGAAGACAGGTTGCGGAGAGGGTTGACATGGTTTATGGTAGGGTTTAGGGTTTAGGGTTAGGGTATCACCTTTTTTTGATTGGAAGGGAACCGAACAAATACTGAACCCTACCCGAAAACCGACACCCTAAACCCTAAACCTAAGCAGGGAAGGAGGGGGGAAGGGGTACGGGTAAAGGGGGAGGGGGAAGGGGCAGGGCTGTGTGTAACAGCAGGGCTGAAAGTCCGAAACAAAGACCACTTCGTCGACCGCTAAACCTTTGCAGTTTTGTCGAAACCCAAAAACCCTAAACCCTGAAACCCTTAAACCCTTAAACCCTAAACCCTAAACCCCGAACCTGAATCACTGTCGCGCCTGTTGCAGTAAAGAGCTTGGACGTACCAAGAAGTTGTCCATTGAATGGCTGCTCCATAGAACCTCTTGGCACGGCTGGACATGGCCAACTGGGATCACTGTTGTCTGCGGGTAGTTTTAAGGAACTTAAACTACCATCATATGAGTATAGAAGTTCAGTTGCTACCATAACATTGGTAGATAATGGATAACAAAATGGTTGGAATTCACATCAAGCTGCTCAATCGGAAGCCGTCGTGCCTAGGTAGAGCGCCCGAAAAATAAACAACATGGATCTAAACCCACAAGGTCTAGAGTTCTGACGTTTCAGTTCGGACTACCAGTGCCGGTCTACCCGATGTACCCTATTAGAGTTTTGGTCCGAACATTCGAACCCTTTTGAGTCGTTGACAGGACTGCAAGGAAGTGTTAGCAACTCTTAGCCGTCTTAGGCTCGGTAGCCCGGCAGCAGCATTTTAAGGGTTTAGGGTTTATGGGGTATAAGGTTACTTCATAAGGGAACCTCGTACCAAACTAAGGGCAAAAGGGTACCGCTGGCTACCAAGTAGAACCCTAAACCGTAAACCCTAAACCCGAAAACCTAAACCCTAAACCCTAAACCCTAAACCCTAAACCCTAAACCGGGAACCTAGAATCAACCTAAGGGCAACAGGGTACCGCTGGCTACCAAGTCGGGCCCCTGGCGGAGAAAGGAGCAGGAGCGGTGGCAGCAGTGCGGCAAGTCCAGGAGCTGGAGCGTCCTTTCGCCGGGGGGGGCGGTTGGGGTTTAGGCTTTAGGCTTTAGGCTGTGGGGTTTGGGGTTTGGGGTTTGGGGTTTAGGGTTTAGGGTTTAGGGTTTAGGGTTTGGCGTTTGGGGCTTGGGGTTTGGGGTTTAGGGTTTAGGGCTTCGGGTTGAGAGTTATTTTCTTGGTTCTTTGGGGTGTACAGGGGCCTTGCACACACATAGGTGCTAACAAAAACATACAAGGTTTCATCCATGCTATTTACGTACGCCAAGGAATAAGGCGACCTTGGTCCGGTACTGCTGGGCCAGGCACCTCATCCCCAGAGTCCTAGAAATGCTGAACTTGGTGGCCCAGTAACCATATTATGATAAGGGGCACCCTTTCTTGGGTTGGTTACTTTATAAGGGAACCTTGAACCCCAAACAGGGGTAAAGGGTACCACTCTGGGCTACCAAGTGAACAAAACCTTAAGGCACAAAAGGTCCTGCACCGTATGAATTAAGTATGGGGTTATCCTACTAGTATCCCCAAAAGGACAGCCAATATATGCAGTTACCAATAACAGGAAAATGGTATGAACAGAGAACCTTCCTTCCGGTTCGGTTCAATATTTGCCAGGAGGCAGGGGCTCTCTACCTACAGCAACCTTTGTATCCCTAACAGCGGATTCCCAATACACGAAAACCAAAGGGAACAGAATGACTACAAACAGCAACCCAGCGGTGCAACTCAACAGCAAGAAAAGACCATCAAGGACCAAGAAGGAAAAGTTCGCGCCTGGCGGCGTAAGAACGCGACTCTGGCTCCCAAGGCCAAAACTCGTTCCGTTCCGGCGTGGGGTCCCGTTCTGGTGCCTCGCCTTTCTCCCATTCGGCTGTTGGTAATGAATACAAACATATACTATGTGCACACACATATACACATATGCACCTACATATGTATGCGTAATGTGCAATGTATGTAGATATATATATATGTATATATATATATATATATATATATATATATTATTTATTATACATATATATACACACAGTATTCATTTTCCATTTAACCCATAGCCTTTGTATGCATGTATGCATGTATGTATGTACACATACACGCACCCCTGCAAAAACTAAGGTGCATCTCCTTTTGTGGGTAAACGGAACTCCCCTACCGTCCTGTAGTACCACCCCCCCCCCCCCCCCCCCCCCCCCCCCCCCCCCCCCCTTCACCGAAAAAAACAACAAAAACACCCTCCGCAGCCAAAACCCAACCTCAAGCAGCCCCCGCACCTCTGTGGTGTTGGCGCGAGTTGGCGAGCCTTGGCAGGATGTGCCAGAACGGTACCAGTGAGGTGTCTTAGGATACACTAAACCCTAAACCCTACACCCTAAACCCTAAAATGATGCCAAAGAAAGCACTACAAGGAGGATTCAGATTGCAAGTCTCCAGCCCAGCAGCTCAGAAGCCGATTCTCGGGCTGATGGGTCTCCCAGGCCCTTGCAACGTGCAACCCTTTCATGGGGGTTTAGGGTTTAGGGTTTCGGGCTTTGGGGTGCAGGGTTTGGGGTTCAGGGTTCCGTTTTTGGGGCTCATTTTGGGGTATACAAGGGGTGATTCCCACAAAAATAAGGGACCCCTAATATAGACCCCAAACAGTAGGATTCGCTTATAACAAGGACCCCAATAACTTACCCCGAATGTCGGAAACCACCATACAAACAACCCCTTCCAGAAAACCTAGAGTGCCTGTATCCCTCCCCTACTACCACCGAAGCTCTCACGACCGTCAACTGTGATGTTCAGGGTCGCAGGACCAGCAACACTCAAAGACATGTACTGTGCTATTGTCCTTGATGAAGGACTATGTAAAGCAGATGGAGAAAACTGCCCTAAACCCTACATCCTAAACCTAACCCCTAACCCTTAAACCCTAAACCCTAGACCCTAACCCTAAACTTGCCCTAAACCACTCAACCCTAAACTCTAAACTGCTGTAGACCCTAAACCCTAAACCTTAAACCCCTTCAAACACAAGAGAGGGGGCCGGAGCTCACCATGATTTAGGGTTCAGGTCTACCTTGAGAACCCCAGAACTTGCTTTTTTGGCAGGTTACCTGGGAATCCCATAAGGGGTTGTAGAGTGATAACCTACAAGAAAAGCAGGTCGTGGGTTCTCAAGGTAGGAATTGGTCTATGGGCTGTGAGTCGCGTCAGGACACCCTACACTTTAAGCCCTTAAGCCCGATAGGTTAAGACGCATAAGAAAAGTGGGCCCTCCTGACCCTCTCCAGTGACCCTCCCGCAGGACCCCGGGGCTTACCTCAGCTTGAAGCGGTTCCTTCCCAAACCTATGAGCGAAATCATTTAGGGTTACCATTGCTTTGTATGGGAAACATAGGCGAATTTGAGGAACAGGTATTTTGATCAACTCTCATATGCCTGAATGGGATTATTGTAGCATAGGTTATACGACCCTTTTTAAGGTTCATGTGCTCCCTTTTTGGGTTAGTATTCAAAGGCGGCCTTAATATTTAGGGTACCCCAAAATTTACAAAACAAATGCCACAATTTTGAGACCACCCAAATGACATTGTTGATAACTCCTCAGGGAACCATGTATGCGCAACCTCGACTGCCAAAACAGGAGTTCTGGTGACTTTAAGAGGGGGGGGAGCATCCCAACTAAACCTTAAACCAGAAGTCCTACAACCCTAAACCCTAAACCACCCTAAACCCTACGCCCTGCACCCTACACCCTAAACCGGAAACCCGAAACCCTACACCCTACACCCTAATCCCTAAACCCTAAACCCTAAACCCTAAACCCTAAACCCTAACCTCAGCTCGAGGTGCCAAAGGTCTTCGGGTTCCACCCGCATAGCTACTCGCAGGATGCACCTCACTGAGGTTTGGGGTTTAGGGTTTAGGGCTAGGGTTTGGGGTTTAGGGTTTAGGGCTAGGGTTTAGGGTTGGCCCTGGCAACGTGCAACCCTAAGGGTTTAGGGTTTATAGGGTTTATAGGGTTTATAGGGTTTATAGGGTTTGTAGGGTTTATAGGGTTTATAGGGTTTATAGGATTTCTAGGGTTTATAGGGTTTATAGGGTTTATGGGGCTTATAGGGTGTATAGGGTTTATAGGGTTTATAGGGTTGGGTTTAGGGGTTTAGGGCATTTAGGGTTGAGGGTGTTTAGGGCTTAGGGTTTAGGGTTTATGGTTTAGTTTTTTTGAGGTTTAGGCTTTAAAGTCAAACACCTAAGCTCCGGTTGAAATGGGCTATCCCAAGCCCTAGTAGGATAGCTTCTTTGTCCAGCTTCAGGGGAATTTCGGGATGAAACCCAAATCAAACCCCAAAAGAAAAAAAGAAAGAAACAAAGGCCTCCTACACTAGGGCTTGAGAATTACAGTGCGGTTTTGTTCTCTCTTTTTTTCGGGGGGGGCTTTTGTCGGATTGAAGGCTTCAGAGGGCTTCGGGCTTGGGGATGTCTATTCAGGGTTAGGGTCTAGAGTTAGGGTTTAGGGTTTAGGGTTTAGGGTTTAGGGTTTAGGGTTTAGGGTTTAGGGTTTAGGGCTTAGGGTTGAGGTGTCAAAGAGCAGCGTTGTGTTGGGACCTCTTAAACCCTCATAAGCAGGGAGAATCACCAGTGGGGGGTTCGGGGTTGCGGATGCAAAAAGTTCAGCCGAATGATGCCGATCCAATCCGCTCCGATCGAGGTCCGCGGAAAACCAAGCATCCACCAAGCTGGCCACTCGCTTGGCATGATGTTCCAGGACGATATCAGCTTGGGTTCCTTTCTCCGTGTCAGTGCGATTGGAAAGCCTGGTTTCTAGCCCTCGCCCACCACCAGTGATGAAGGTCAAGATTTCGAAATTTTCGTGGTCAGCGGCGTAGATTTCACGCGCTCTGGCCTTCTCCAACTTTTCTGACCGGCTGATCAGTGTTAAGCCTTCCTTGCTTCGGCCAGACTCAAATTCGGCCCAACGAACGCCTTCGTTCCCTTGAATGGATAGGCCAAGAGTAGATCTGAGTTAGGGTCCTTTTTGCATCTCCATTAAAGTAGATCGTTGAGGGTGCCGAAGAGGGCGCAGAAGGTTTTGGGTTTAAATCCCCACCAATCCCACCCACGGCTAAGATTCGAGGAGCTCCAAACAAAGGTCAAGTCGGTTTCAGGGTTTAGGGTGTAGGGTATCACCCTTTACCTGGGTCCCGTAGGTATTCCGCCCCTATACCACCCTTCAAGGGAATCCACCATCACCCTAAGGTTATCCTTATATACCTGGGCAGCAAAGTCCCTATATAGGAAGTACTTGAAGGCCCAAGTATTCAACTTAGTTGCTGAGTTCATAAACCCCCCCCCAAAGTGTACACTTTCAGTTCTATAGGGGTTTAATAGCATCCCAAAACATGTAAAAGTGTACTCATTCAGCTACTGAGAAATTCCCTAAACCCTAAAGCCTAAACCCTAAAACCTGAACTCTATCTAAACCCTAAACAAAACATGGGCCCCTAGGGCCGTGTCTGTGAGGTTTGGCTTGTGAGACGCCGGCCTCGCCAATTTCAGCGGAAGCCCTGCAGCGGACAGGGCGGGGACCCTAAACCCTAAACCCTATAAACCCTAAACCCTATGAACCCTGAACCCTGAAACCCTGAAACCCTGGAAGCCCGGAACCCTGGAACCCTGGAACCCTGAAACCCTGAAACCCTGAAACCCTGAAACCCTGAAACCCTGAAACCCTCAAACCCTCAAACCCTGAAACCCCAGAACCTTGAACCCTGAAATCCTGAAACCCTGAAACCTCCAAAATGATCAGGGGCCTTCTGTTGGGTTCGCCAAGGCTTAGGAGGCGGAAGCATGGGTTTCAGGTTCATGGCCTTAAGAATCCAAAACCTACCTGGTGAGCAGTGGCGAAAACCCTTTGAACTTTTCATTCGACTATGGAAGGGCTCTCGCGGGCTCTGACGCGGCCTGCTGCAGGCCGCATCGCGCACTGACGCGCACGTGCTTTTGGGGTTGCACTGACGCGGACTATCGCGCGCTCTCACACCTACCCTGTCGCGCGCTATCGCGCGCTCTCGTGACCAGAGCTCTCTCGCAGAAACTATCGCGCACTGGCGCGCCTCGGACTTTAGCTGACGCGGGCCAATCAAAGGCGAACCCTCAATCTAATTCTTTCATGGAAGGTTTTTGGCGCCGCTCACCTTTTTTTGTAGGTTACCGAAGAATTCTATACTTTGTCAACCTAAACCCTAAACCCTAAACAACAAGTGAGCCTCCCCCAACTCCTGGCCTCCAAGTGGAGGAAAGGTCGCCATGCCCAGGATCAGGGCAGGAAACCTCGGGTCCAGCACTGGGAGAGTAACTCCTTGTGTTTAGGGTTTAGGGTTTGGGGTTTAGGGTTTGTGGTTTAGGGTTTGCAGTTTGGGGCTTAGGGTTTAGGATGTCTCCGAACTCCTTGTGTAATGTTAGGACAACCTCGGAAAAACAAAAAAAAAAAACAGATCTACAAGGGTGACATAGGGCCACGGAAGGGCTATGTACTACCCCCAGCCCAGATGAAACAAAGTCGATCATGCCTCATCGGATTTTCCCACTGAAAAAGAACCTTGAACTCTGGGGCTTTGGGTCTGGGGTTTAGGAACCCTAACGCCCCCCCCCCCCCCCCCCGGCCTGTGCAAAACCCGCTTAAGGCCCCAAGCAGACACATCTTCGAAAAACCCTCTAAAGCCCTAACAACTCCGTACACCCCATGAACCCGCTGAAGCGGATAAATCTATAAACCCGACGAAACCCTTTAGAAACTCCATCAGCCCTAAAGAGCCCCAAGCCCTATAAACCCTCTAAAACCCCATTAAACCCGATAGACCCTGAACCCTAAACCCTGAACCCGAAGCCCTCTAGACCCTAGATCGAAACCCTAAACCCTAAACCCTAAACCCTAGATCGTAAACCCTGCGTACCCTGCAACTCCCCTGAACCCCCCAGACCCTGAACTTGGGATGTTCCCCCTTGTAGCAGCAGTCCTTTTTTATAGGTACCCCGATTCTCATCCCTATTAAGGCCTGCTACTACAAGGGGGAACATTCCAACCCTAAACCCTAAACCCTGAACCCTGAACCCTGAACCCTAAACCCTAAACCCTAAACCCTAAACCCCAAACCTCTTAAGCTGGAATCATTCTCTGAAAACCTACGAATCAAGGTTTTTTAGCCTCCACCCAAGGGGCGACACCATGGGCCCGAGCGCTTCGAAGCCTACTGCCGCGGCACCGGCAGCCTTGGGCTTTAGGGTTTAGGGTTTAGGGTTTAGGGTTTAGGGTTTAGGGTTTAGGGTTTAGGGTTTAGGGTTTAGGGTTTAGGGTTTAGGGTTGAGGGTTTGGGGTTGAGGGTTTAGGGTTGAGGGTTTAGGGTTGAGGGTTTAGGGTTGAGGGTTTAGGGTTTAGGGTTGAGGGTTTAGGGTTGAGGGTTTAGGGTTTAGGTTTAGGGTTTTGGGGTTGAGGGGGCTACACGTCAGGGCATTTTTGGGCAAGAAGGTTTAGGGCTGCAGAAAGGACGCGGAGGGTGGGGGGGGTGGGGGGGGTGGGGGGGTCTTCTACAGTTCTTAGCAGGGAATCATGAAGCACCCTATACAATCCCGTCAAGGGTATCTATCGGGCCCTAATTCCCTCATTCCCTACTAAGAACCCAGGGGAGAATGTGTTCGTGGGGCTTACCGCGCCCAGGGCTTGCGCTCTGCGAAGCGCTGTAGGAGTCCATTGCATTGGCTTTCTCTCCCGGGCTTTTGGCAGATGACTGTAGCCTTAGACTGAGCCTCAAAAGGTTTAGGGTTTAGGATTTAGAATTTAGGGTTTAGGGTTTAGGGTTGAGGGTTTGGGGTTGAGGGTTGAGGCATCAACCCTCAACAGCAGAACAATCTGGAAAGATGATGCCTGAATGGAAGCTAGGTCGGCCGTGCAAACCCTCAAAAAAAGAGACTTACGCAAGATCCTCATGCGTGTGCGCTTGTATGGTGCACCCAGCCACGCCCACTGTTGCGGAGGTCCCACCGCTGGGTTTAGGGATTGGGAGATTCAGGGGCACATGGGCTTTCCGAAAATAGGGGTGCCCTGTCAGAAGGTTCCCAAAATAAGGATTATAGTATTTGGGGCCATGTTAGGGGTACCCCTATTGTGGGAGATGCCCACTTCCATCCCAACCTACCCAGATCTTCCAAAACAGGAATATACCCTATAATATATACTCAGGGTCCTTATTAGGAATTAGGAATTAGGGTAGATTCCTTAATTAAGGGGTCTAACCCTAAACCCTAAACCCTAAACCCCAAACCCTGAACCCTAAACCCGAAACCCTAACTAAACCCCAAGATCTGGGTACTGGCGCGAGTGGAAGAAATGCGAACCAGATACCGCAGCAATTCCAAGGATGGCTCCTGCAGAGAGACTGGCCACGAAGGCCTGCCAGAAACGCGAAGCAGATGACCCTAAACCCTAAACCCTAAACCCTAAACCTAAACCCTAAACCCCAAACCCCTAAACCCAAATAGCGGAAACAAGGCCCCAGACATACACCTGCCCAACGAAAACCCCAAGGCTGGAATGTGTCACTGCAGGGATTCTAATACCCCCCCCCTAAACCCTAAACCCTAAACCCTAAACCCTAAACCCTAAACCCTAAACCCTAAACCCTAAACCCTAAACCCTAAACCCCAAAAAAAACAAAAAAACTTCAAGAACCTAAGCCATAAATCCTTCCCCAATTGCCAACTCTACTCCTAAGAAGCCGTCCAAAGAACATTACATGGAGTGGGCCCTCAGCCAGGTTCGTCCACACTGGACATTGAACTCCGAAAGTTTTGTGTAGGGCTTAGGCTTTAGGCTTTAGGCTTTAGGGTTCAGGGTTCAGGGTTCAGGGTTTGGGGTTTGGGGTTTGGGGCAGTAAGGGGGTTTCAGGGGTTTAATGGGTGTAAGGAGTGTGCCTGCATCAGCCCAGTGCATAGTGCTCCCTCTGGCGCCGACTTCCTGCAACAGTTGGGTCTACATTGAGCACTGGGCCTCCTGCCCAACAGACTTTGGGGTCTAGCTTTTCGTATTTTGCGGCAATCCCCAACTCTGCAAACGTTCAAATGCATGGGTTGTATATATATATATATATATATATAGTACTTTATTTGGGGTAAGGGAATCCTACTAGTTGCGGTCTGCTTTCGGGGTCCCCTATTTTCGTAAACCGCCGTATATGTGTGTATATACATATCTGTACACATGTCTACAAGCCATCATCGTCGAAAAACCTGTTGGCTGAATACAGGGTATAATTAACTACGTCCCAACCCCAAACAAAGTCTTCCGAACTAGAAGAGCCCCTTCGAGGCTGAAGACCCTCAGATACTTAGAAGAACGTTGGAACCCTGCATTTTTTTTTGAGGGTTTAGGGGGGTTCTACGCCAGGGAATCAAAGTGCCTTGCCCCATAACTGGCTGGAAGAAGCCAAGATGCCCTGAACGGTTCAGGGTTTAGGGTTTAGGGCCTAAACCCTACGCTCTGAACAAACAGCCACCCCATCAATTCGCCGACCCTCCTGGTGATAGTCGGCATGACACTGACGACGGAGCCGTAGCCAAGGGAGTAGGCCAGAAACAGCGCGCAGAAAAGGGTCGAACGAAAAGTCCTTTGTTTCAGGTTGGGATGCTCCGCCTTATACCAGCTCCTTATTAAGGACTGTTACGAAAAGTCCTTGGTTTCAGGGTTAATTGAGGGTTTGGGGCTAAACCTTTCGCAACCCTAATTCTATTGAGCATATACCCTCAAGCAAAAATCTTGGGAGTCGTATTTTGGGGTCTGGGATTCCCTACTTCTGTGCTAACATTTGGGAGGCGCAGAGGCTTCATGTACTAGACCCAGAATCCAAGGTTCTGACAACTATGTTCCCGGTTTAGGGTTTTAGGGCTAGTTAGTTTAGGATATGGGGTTTCCGACAATAGCGGACCCCTAAAATACACCTTCAAATAGTAGGATCCCCTTAAAGTTAAGGACCCCAATAAGGTACCCCCTAATATCGTCAACCCCCACCCAGATCTTCCAAAACCCCTTAATGTTGTACCTGGTTTTGTCGGGGCCTCCTGCATAAAGTCGATTTGGCTGGGTTATTCAGGACACCCTGCCTGACTGGTTGGGGATGCGCGGCGGGATCCTGTATTAAGTCAAATCGCCCGGGCGCCGTAAGAAAATTCCACACGCTGCGCTTTTAAAAAAGATTGTCGGGCATCGCTGCCCCTTTTAAACTCATAAAAAACCCCGGGACCGTGTAAAGAGGAGCAAATCCAGCCTCGACTGTTCGGGGCGGGGGGGGAGGGGAGGGGGGGAGAGGGAGAGGGGGGGGGAAGGGGGGGGGGGGGGAAGGGGGGGGCCCAACACTTTAAACCAGGTACAACACTAATTCAGGAAGATACCGTAATTCCTACTAAGGATCCTTATCATGAATTAGCGTATATTCCTTACTTAAGGGGTTTTGGAAGATCTGGGTCGTAAACCCTAAACCCTAAACCCTAAACCCTAAACCCTAAACCCTAAACCCTAAACCCTAAACCCCCATATGAAGCCCCGAAGTCGCCAAGAAACTCCCCCAGCTCCGGCCATGCGCTAGCGGCAGTTGCAGCCGTGCCGGCGATGCTGAACCTGGTGCTTCTGTGCTGACGTTCTGGGGATAAGGGGGTTTAGGGTTTAGGGTTTAGGGTTTAGGGTTTAGGGTTTAGGGTTTAGGGTTTAGGGTTGAGGGTCTAGTACAAGGCGGGCTTGGAGGGTTGAAGTTCGAGGCACGCCGCTGTCGCTGCAGCTTTGATACGGCTCGGCTCGACAATGTAAAGACAAGCGGGGCGCCGACGCTACGCAAGGACTCGACTTCGGGTTTAGGGTTTATGGTTTAATTAGGGTTTAGGGTTTAGGATTTAGGGTTTAGGGTTTAGGGTTTAGGGTTTAATTAGGGTTTAATTAGGGTTTAGGGTTTAGGGTTTAGGGTTTAGGGTTTAGGGCTTGGAGGTTCAGGGGTACGTGTAACCCTTCATTAGAACTGTACTTAGCAGACCCCTGAGCCCCCTGTCTAAGTAGGCTAGAGGTAGACGTAAAATTGGGCTGATAAGTACCCATGAACCTCCAAGAGGACTCCTTTAATACACATCCGTTCCCAAAACTAACCCTACGACGAGAACATGACAATGCAAAAGGTCCGACTCTGCTGAGGGCGCGAAACCATCCCTACCATCGTCGCGCAGCCTAACCCCATAACCCTATAAACCCCAAAACCCTAAAACGTCTAAATCTCTAAGCCCACGTCGCCCTAGGTAGGGAGACTTTTGCGTCTTCATTGGAGACATTTTCACTACACCAACCTAACATCAACATGAAGGAGCGGGGTTCGCCCACAGAGTCCGGCGCCCCCAGAGTTTAGGGTTTAGGGTTTAGAACCCTAAACCCTAAACCCTAAACCCTAAACCCTTGTCCCTAAACTCTAAACCCTAAACCCTAAACCCCTAACCCCTAAACCCTAAACCCTAAGGACATTCGTAGAGGTCTGCTTAGAAAGAAGTGGCAGCTCTTGAGGTTCCTTTGTAGGTCTGGTGTTGAGGAACTTTAAGACACAAGTCACCAGTTTAGGGTTTAGGGTTTAGGGTTCCAATAACATGGCAGCCCCAGGAACAGCTCCAAGCAGCAGCCAAACAGGACCTCAGATGGTTTAGGGTTTAGGGGCAGAGTGGCCGTACGGCTTGAGGCAGGGCCGTGTATGGCAAATAAGGGCCCAAGAAGCTTGCTAGACACAACGCAAGCCTTAAACCCGAAACCCTAAACTTTCGCGTAAGAAGGCCATAACTCCCCACCAACCCTAAACCCAACTGGAGGGGGCCTTAGGGTGGTTCCATGGTCTCTTCCTGGGTTCTGCTTTAAAACCTTTGAGAATTATTTTTGGGGTTTAGGGTTTAGGGTTTAGGGTATAGGTTCCCTTATAAAAACAAAGTCAAATTACAAACTCTCCCAAAGCGCAACCCAGCTTCCTAAGGGCCCTTAATTGGGGGACCCTGATATCGAGGGACCATGGAACTACGCATAGAGGGCGCGGAGCCTTGAGCCTTCTATGGCCACCAAACAACTCTGGGTCGGTTTAGGGTTTAGGGTTTATATAGGGTTTAGGGTTTAGGGGGGCAACTCCGGGAAAAATAAGGGTTCACGGTTGGACCCTTTCTTTGCCAAAGAGGCTTGTAGGGAAACTTCACATCCGAGTTCATGATGCTGAACCCAAAACAATAGGCCCTGAACCCCAAAGGCCTGGACCCTGAACCCTAATGCACCCTAAACCCTAAACCCTGAACCCCAAACCCTAAACCCTAAATCCCAAACCCCAAACCCGAAACTCTAAACTCTGAACCCTAACGAACCCTAAGCCCTAAAAACTGCAAGCCATGGTCAAGGTGGCGGTTTTGACTTTGGGTGTCATACTTTCGGCGTTCAGAGTTCAGTATCGGCTTTAGGGTTTAGGGTTTAGGGATTAGGGTACGGCTTTCAGGGTTTGCAGGGTTTAGGGTTCCTGCTTTTCGGGTTTGTAGCGTATATGGTTTACAGGGGTTGATAGGGCTTAGGCTTCATCGGCTTCACAGGCTTTCCAGGCTTCAGGGGTTTGCAGGGTTTATGGTTTACCGGGCCTGTCCGAGTTGAGGTCCAAACAGGAGCCCACAACTACCCCCCTTGGGGACCAAGTGAACCCTTTTAGGGTTCATACTGCCTTAGTAGGGCTTGTAGTAGTACAGGGTATATGACCCCCATTTTAGGGTTCATTCGGTCCCCAAGGTCCAATTCGCTGAGCTGCACAATTCGGTAGTGAGGCGTCCGACAAGGGCAACGCACCCACCAGCAGGGGAGCCAATGAGCAGGAAGCCGACAGAAACCTGTGAGGTTTAGGGTTTCGGGTCTAGGGGCGTCCAGGCCACTATTGGTTCAAGAGCCCCGCAAAAGAATTGATAATATTGTTCCACATACGGGCAAAATGGGGGAGTATGTTTTTAATCTTTTCGGGGTGCTCTTAAATCCCCCCACAAGACTTTCTTCTTTATAAGGGTAGCATAGAGAATATTGTTCAATTTTCGGGGCCAAATTGTAGAGGCTTGTGCACTGTCACAAGCTCAACGGAGAGGGGACCAATGACAAAATTGGGATGGATGTCGCGAGACTGACAACCCGACATCTGTCATGGACAACGGCTTCGGTTCAGGGTAGTAGGCTTAAGCCATGTGGCCAGTTCAAGGAGGCTTTCTTCTCACCTCTGACAGCTATAGCCGGCTAGAGTGTGAAAAGGCCCCCGGCAGGGCATGCAACACTCCTTCCCAGAATACACCAGCCACCTGCTCAGGCCTCTGATCTGTTGCCCGTATGGTGTTGTCGACCCTAAGCCGCAAACCCTAACCGTAAGGCTCCTAATAGCCCAAAGTAGGTATTGTTTACAGACTTTAATTTCAACCCCAGTGTATAGGTACTCTTTGTATACTTGGAGCCTTAGGGTAAGGTGCAAACTTTAAACTCCACACGGAAGAAGCCCTGCCATGCGCTGCATTCACAACTCACAAGCCTTGAATCACGCTCAGCACACCAGGGCTACGGGTTCCCGAAGAAGCCCTAAACCCAAAACCCTAAACCCTGAACCCTGAACCCTAAACCCTAAACCCTAAACCCTAAACCCATGTCGGGTTTAGGCTGAGGGACTTCAGGGTTGAGGACTTGAGTAAGTTAGGGTTTAGAGGGACTTTGGGGTCTGTGTAGGAGCTTTAGGGAGGTAGTTCAGGGATTCTAGGAACACCCCTAAACCCTAAACCCTAAACCCTAAACCCTAAACCCTAAACCCTAAACCCTAAACCCTAAACCCTAAACCCTAGACCCTAGACCCTAGACCCTAGACCCTAGACCCTAGACCCTAGACCCTAGACCCTAAACCCTAAACCCTAAACCCTAAACCCTAAACCCTAAACCCTACCCTAAACCCTAAACCCTAAGGGACTTTGGGGCAAACAAGAAAAGAAAGGCGCTTTGCTGCCCGCTGTGCGCCATTGGTTCCCAGCCCTGCTAGAGACCTTCAGCGACAGCCAGGGTTTAGGGTTTAGGGTTTAGGGTTCAGGGTTTAGGGTTTAAGGTTTGGGTTTGGGGGTTGGTTGGGGCTTGTTTGGGGCTTGCTAAGGTTTATAGGGTTTACAGTTGAGGGCCGGTTTGGGGTTTGTTAGGGTTTATAAGGTTTCCAGGGTTTAGGGGCTTAGGGTCTAGGATTTAGGATTCGGGGATTGTTTGGGGTTTGCTAGGGTTCAGAGGGTTTAGGGGTTGTTTTGGGCTTGCTAGGGTTTATAGGGTTCACAGGGTTTAGGGGTTTAGGGCTTGGAGTTTAGGGTTTTGTTGTTCGGGTTGGTAAGGTGGTTTAGGATTTGAGTTTAGGGGTTTTGGGGGATTGATAGGGTTTAGCGCTTACAGGGTTTAAGGTCCCGCGTTTTTGAGGCTTTGAAGTCGAGGGTTCGGGATTTAGGGTTGTTAAGGGCTGTTAGGGCTAGGGTGTGTAGGAATTAAGGCTT